TGTGAGAAGGGTTCACATATCTATTGTGAGTTCGGTGTTCACATAATTTCTGTTTTTGCATTGATATGATTTCTATTTTCTTATATTGATATGATTTCATTTTTATCCTTGGCTGCTCCTTATATACGTTCGAGCAGCTGTCCATCTCTCAGAAATAGAGTTAGTTTGGCCTTCGCTATTGCATCTCTTGGCTTTAGGAGATCTATGACAGATAGCGGATCTAACTGCAATTCTTGTTTTAACCTAGCCCGGGCTGGGGCATGGTCTTGACATTCTAGTAACAGGTGGTCAATGGTTTCAGCCTGATTGCAAGATGAACAAACCTTGTCATAGTGCTTTTTGTGACCAAGTCTGAGGCGTGAGATAGCAGTTTCAATTTTCCTTTCATTTGAGTATGAGTTTGGCTTTTGTTGGACCTTGGGTTGAATTTTGTATAGCCATCTGCCGATCTTACTTGCGTCCCATTGGGTTTGCCATCTTTTTGCTATGGAGGCTTTGATTTTGCTTTTTATCTCTAGTTTACTAAAGGGAATAGGCTGTATATCCGCTTTGTCTAGAGCTAGCTTCGCCAGTGAGTCTGCTTTTTCATTTCCATGAATATCTATGTGAGAGGGGATCCAACACAGCTCCACCTGTTGCCCTTGGTCCGATAGTTTTGTATATTCGTATAGAATATTGTTGACTGTGTTTGGCCTGGAGTTTGAGTTTCTTCCACTGATGGCCTGAAGTGCACTTAGCGAGTCTGATAGGACGACTGCCTTTGCTTCCGGGAGTTCCGGTATGAGTTTGAGTGCATGATGAATTGCCTCCAATTCAGCCGTGAATACTGACTGACCATCGGGCAAGCGAACTGAATGTGCTTGGGGTTTGGAGCTGTGGATATGGATCCCGTAACCAGCACTGTTGTTGATAGGATTCTTGGATCCATCAGTGTATATATGGGCCCAGCTGTCCCAGGTAGTTTGAATTTTAGTGATAGCTACTGAACGTAGTAGGGTTGGGTTTTCTCTTTTAGTGACTTCTGATGTTAAAGCAGTGTCAACTTTGGGAGTTTGTAAAGTCCAGGGAGGGTGTAACCCTTTGTAGTGACTTTCTGGAGGCTGAATGTCATCGCAATTGTGACTTCGAATGAGTTCACGTACTAATATCCCAGATGGCTTTAGTGAGGGATTTTTTCGAGCTAGGGCCTCATCTCGAGCGTTTTTGTCTTGCCATATCTTTTTAACCAAAGGGTTTGATGTTCGTCCCCAGAACGATAATATTGCCTGCTCTCGTCTTAGTTTCAATGGGAGTTCTCCCGTTTCTACTTGTAGTGCTTCTAGTGAGGTGCCTGTCGCTGCGCCTGTGGCCAGTATTAGGGCTTTGTATTGTATTCTGTCTAGTCGCCTCAAGACAGTATTTGATGCTGAGTGAAAAGCCTCACAACCATAGTCAATTTTTGATCTGATAAGAGCTTTGTAGAGGTCCAGCTGAGTGTCCCTCGATGTGCCCCAAGATGTGCCTGAAATTGCCCGTAATACGTTCAGGTCTTTTTGACATCTGTTTTCCACATATTCTATATGCTTGCGCCAAGTGAGGTGTTGATCTAGGATAACTCCAAGAAATATTGCAGATTTTTCGAATTTGATAGGTTTGCCTTTTATGGAGACACGGGGTATCATAGCATCTTTCCCCCGGCGTTTGAATAGAACTCCAACAGTTTTTTCACTTGAAAGGGTGAATCCCCATTTATTGCACCATTGATCTACTCCGTCCAGGGCTGACTGGAGTTTTTTTCTGATTTGTGAGATATCTCTGTGCTTTACCCATATTGCTCCGTCATCAGCGAACTTAGAAGTTTGGGTAGGAGAGTTGACATGGTCAAAAAGATCATTGATCATGATATTAAACAGGGTTGGGCTTATAATGCTGCCTTGTGGCGTGCCATTGTCCAGTGCCATAGGATCCGATCGATTGTTCCCTATTTTAACTGAAAGCGACCTGTCTTGAAGGAAGCTGTCTATGAAGTTTGCCATGTTCCCTTCAACTCCATTTTGTGATAGTTTTGAGAGGAGTCCGTCATGCCATACCATGTCGAAGGCTTTGCTGAAGTCCAGAAATACTGCGGCTAGGTATTGTCTGTTTAATTGGGCTTTTTTTATTTCATTTTCCAGTCTTAGAATATGATCTAGACACGAGTGTCCCTTCCTGAAGCCACTTTGGTCAGGTTTTATGTGGTTGCCAGTTTCAAAATGATGCATGAGCCTTTTTGTAACCATGGCTTCCATGGCTTTGCACATGTTTGAGGTGAGTGAGATCGGTCGATAAGAGTTTGGTAGGGCTTCGTCTTTCCCTTGCTTTAGCAGCGGGATAACCGCAGCATGTTTCCATGCTTTTGGGACTTCTCCTTTGGACCATATCGTGTTATACAACTCAGTGAGTAAGCCTTTGGTTTGATCAGGTAGGTTTTTCAATATCTCGTAGCTGGTTGTGTCAAGACCAGGTGCTGTGCCTTTTCTATGTTGTATCGCATCATCAAACTCTGTCACAGTAAATGGTATATTGTATACCAGATGCTTGCTTTGCGGCCGTTTTGAGATCTTAGGCATAAGCATTTTTGCCTGTTTGAATTCTTCGCTGCAATTTGTGTTGCTGCTGACAGATGAGAAGTGCTCAGCTAGAATGTGGGCCTTTTCTTTGACTGTATGGGCGTTGGCTAACTTGGGAATTTTTGTGGGTTTACGCTTACCCCTGATTGCGTGTATTTTGCTCCAGACTGTTTTAGCATTTGTTTTCTCATTAAGGGATTTGCAGAAGGTCTGCCATGACTCTTTTTTAGAATCGTCTATGAGTTGTCTTACTTTCGTCCTGGCTGTTCGGACTTGGGCAAAGGCTGATTTATCCCTTTTTGACCTATTTAGGGCTTTCTTTCTCACTCTCCTAGCTTTTGCTATTTCCCTGTTCCACCATGGTACCGGCGTTTTGCCAGTTTTGTGGTCTTTTTTTGGAATTGATTTTTCAGCTGCGGCAATAATTGCTGAGGTGAGATTTTGGCAAAAAAGATCAGGATCATCCGAGGCAATTTCTGAGGACTTGAATGATACACATTCCTTCCTGAATTTAGGCCAGTCAGCCTTTGCATAGTCCCATGTGGGCTGAGGATTGGGCTGTTCCTCTAATTGTGGTGGGCTACCTATGTAGGTGAGTATAGGAAGGTGATCGCTTCCCCAAGTGTCGTCATGGACTTGCCATTGGCAATGTGAGGCGAGCTTTTTGGTGGCAATTGTGAGATCAATTGAACTCCACGTGTTGTGGACTTGGTCATAACGTGTGTGACTGCCGTTGTTCAGAGTTATGAGATTGTCGTCCTCAACCCATTTCTCTACCATTTTGCTGTATTTGCATGAATCATTCCTGTCTTCCCAAAGAGGGCTGCAGAGTGTCGCCTTCCACTCTTTATATATACCATCAAATACATACTGTATGTATTCTTAAGAAACGACTCTCCTCTAAACCCATCGGTATCATAACCCATATCAACTAAGAAACTAATTGTTTGTTCAACTAAGAAACTGATCATCTCTTCTCCTGTGTTTAAACATCCAACTGTATTATTTTTTTACGAAACGACTCTCTAGTAAATCTCCTCTCCTCTCTTCTCCTCTGTTTGAACAGCACGGGCGCTAATCTAAACTACGGTAATCCGGTGTTTTTATAGCAATTACTCATTTCTCGCCTTCGTAGGACAAATACCCTAACTTGGGTTTTCGCTTTACTGATACTAGGGAAAATTGGATTTTCACTAACCCGGCACGACACCTTCAACGGATCAACTCAAAGTGCGTTGAAACTTGAAACAAAAATATAACTTTTCATAACTCTGGCCCTTTAACGTGTGCAGATGTTAGTCCCTGTTGGCATGACAACAAAGATCATTCTCAAACGCGTGAGTGATCCAGCCAACCAAACCGTGTTTGCCGTTCACAATTACACTCCCCGAAAAGTACGATATGGAAACAAATATTAGTTTTTATCTTGCTTAAATTTGAATCTACTCTTCAACCTATTGAGCACAAGCTCCATATCTGTGCTTGCCTGAAATATTGCTCCAAATGTTGAGCCGTAAATATTTTGGTCCGCTCTGAATAATTTCCGAAATAATAATCGTTTTAGTTCAGTTTGCCTCGTGACGACAATTAACATTTTGACCTAGTCGTCGGTAGAGTTTGTTCTTACGTAACTGAAAACTGCAAGAACTTTTCTTAAATTTAACTATCACTCATTCCTGCAGCAGTTTTTCAAAAGTAATCTGTGGCTGGGAACTTTTGTGTAAAAATAAATTGGTTCAAAAAATGAATTTACAACCCCATGTTCCCTGCCATATTTGAATTTTTGTGCCGAAAAAAGCAATAATATTTTATTCTATTTATTTTCAAAGATATGATACAAGTCCCAGTACAGTCCATTAAAAAATATAATATATCACTAAATTAAGATATTTTCAATTGAAAATCAAACATGAAAAAATCAAATGAGAGGTATAGTAACCTTTGCTACTCTGTTATCAAATTTAAATTGGCCGCCGCCTCAAACGAACAAAAAAAATCACCCCAAACAATGGTCGGTTACGATGTTTCCATCATGTCAAGGTTCCCTGCGCCATGTCCATAATAGATCTCTCTGGATATTTCTTTCTTATAATCTTATATTTTTAGACCGAACAATTAACCCTTTTTAGTATAATGCGAGGCACTAATGCTTCCCTTAGCCCATACAAAGATTGAAATCAGCCAATGTCAGCTGTGTTCTCACAAAAAGTAGTTGACACATTATGACATGTTATTCACATCGAGGAATGATATTTCATTTCCCGAGCCACAATTTATATTTTCGATTTTTTATCGAAATTGATAATACATCGTATTGTTTCATTACAATTATACCAAGGTTTTGTAATATTTTCAATGCCATTTGTGTTTGTAAAGTCTAAACCAACAAAAGAAAACCAGACATATTTTATTTCTTTCAAGGAGGATTGTGTTCCAAGGAATAGTTTCCATATCAGTGAGTGAGTGGGTTTGGTTAACGTCGCTTTGAACAGTATTGCAGTTATATCCCGGCCTCTGATATCAGAATAGGCCTAGACGTGTCAAATAGTATCTCCGGAAACACTATACATACAAAATGTAGTCATTCAATGTCGTACAATAGTTCATCATAATTTTAAAAATAACAAACAAACGTATTTTTGAAAGACTTAAATCCAGTTTCCTCGGACTGCCAATTAGTCGAGTAATTTAATCAATTAGCCTTCACAAAATACATGGGTTCGTCTCTGCCTTCGGTGATGACATATATTCCGGACATATCAAGCTTAAAGGTTGCCCCCTGGGGCTGTTGTATGGACGTGAGACAGGCCGAAGCAGGTTTTTTTGTTGCCTCCCTGATGCCCCCTTTGCCAACTTCCCAGTAATATACCCAATCTTTTATCATGAGTACAAGTTTCGAACCGTCGGGAGAAATGTCTCCAGCCCAGACGTTGTGCCACGGTTCTTGTGGGCCTTCTATAGAATGTAGGGTTTCTGCTTCCTTTAGCACGGAACTGCCCCAGTTGTCTGGCAGATGGTGTAGGACGCTGTCGTCATCGGAGGACACAACGTACAACGCCCCCCCTGGGTCCACCAGTAGAGTGTAAGCATCCTCGTAGTTCCCGCTGAAACAGGAACAGAGATCATTATCACGGGTAAGGCGCCGCAATTAGCTGTGGTCCTTAGCCGTGTTGGGTAGCTGAGTGGGTTAAGCGTTCACTCGTCGCGCCGAAGACCCGGGTTGAATTCCATGAGTACAATGTGTGAATCCCATTTATGGTGTGCCGCCGCCATGATATGGCTCGAATATTGCTAAAATAATTTGGTTCGTTTGGTTGTTGTTTTGCATCACATTCAGAAATATTCAAGCTTTATGTGCGTGGCGTATAAATAATAAAAACCGACATGGGACCTGTGAAGTTCCGGGGTAGAATAGGTCTTCAGCAACCCATGCTTGACGTAAAAGGCGAATATGCTTGTCGAAAGAGGCGACTAACGGGATCTGGTGGTCAGGCTCGCTGACTTGGTTAATGCATGTCACCGTATTCCAATTGCGTAGATCGATACTCATGATATCAATCACTGGATTGTCTGGTTCAGACTCGATTATTTATGCTACCATCACACCAAAGTAGTTCTATCCCGTTCTACCCCGTTCTAAACAAAATACTAGAACGGACTGTGTTCGCGGTAGAACGCGTAGTTTGGCGTAAAATACGATGCTAGTTCGTTCCTCAATACGTCTATCTCGTTCTCATCTCGTTCTTAGCCAGTCTGCAGTCCGTTTGTATCCATTTCAGATCGTGCAAAAGTGCCCGTTCACCTCATCCCGACAACGTCTGGAAGCAGTTCGAACACGTCCGTAGCCGTTCTCAACCCGTTCCTAACCAGTTCAACCTCGTTCCACCTCGTTCACAATACGTCCAAGCCAGTTCTAACTAATTCTAAACCCGACCAACTCGTTCGCAGTACGTCCTCATGTCGTCCCAAGTGCGTGTGTATTCGTGTCCTAGCCCGTCCTGGCCCGACTCCTATGGATACCGAGCGCGTTGTAGCCAGTCTTCATTCAAATTCAGGGCTCCGATCTGTACACATCATGCCTCCAAAGAGAAGTCGAACCGGTCGGTGTGCACACGTTCTGAAATTTATGTCCGACTGCACTACGTCAAAACACGTCCCTAGTAGGTTCGAAGTACGGCAATTCCGTTCGTAATACGCCTTTCTCGTTTTAAGTACGTTGTCAATCCGACAAATTGCAGAACGGGATGGACGGGATAAAATTTTGAGCAGACTCAAAGTTCTAGAGCACCCTCCCCGTCCGAGCCCGTCCATGACGTTCGTAAAAAGACTGTCAATAGTTGCTACTACGTCCACTACATTCATACACAGTTTGAGTCCGTTCGACGACATTTGCACGAACGTATGGAGAACTAGTTTGGTGTGATGGTATTACAGACCGATCAATCAGACACACGATCAATCATACAGCCTAACTACCCGAAACCCATTTTCGGGGCACGGGTGGCCCAGTCGTCTAAGGCGCCGCGATTCGCTGTGCAGAGTTGCGTCCCTTAGGCACGCCAGAAACCTATGATTGTGGGTTCGAATCCCGGTTCGTACCGATTATGTTTCTAGGTTTGTCAGCACCATGCCCGTGCTCGTGGGTTTCACCGAAGTGGTAAACGTCTGAGACCTGCATTACTTCGGGCTTTCCTCCCACATTAAGCTGACACGCCAGGATATAACTGGAATACTGTTAAAAGCGGCGTAAAACTCAACTCACTCAATCACACTCACGGTACCTATTTTCGTTTTATTAGGGCAAACACGAAGTTCTCAAGTCTACAATGTTAAAGGGTTTTGTTTTAATTGTCTTAATTAGATTCATAACAATTTTTTTAATTTTGTAATTATTTTCCCACACAAAAAAATAACTAATATCGTTAAGGATCCAAATTATCAAAACAGTTGAGAAAAGAGCAAGTCCTCGGTTAATACTGCTTTTGTCGCGTACATGAAACAGTCACAGGCCTCATATAAAGTAATTGTTTGTTTGTTTATAATAAAGAGACAAACGCAGATTCAACATATAAAACTATGAAAGGAAATTCCAACAGAGACATGTGATTGGCTTAGGTTTGAGGAATATACCTCCGATTAATTCCTTCCCATTGTTATCAATCATTCAACCGCTTCTAGACCAATGAATATGGCAGACACTTCGCATTATATAATAATACGACTTCAAGTTCGCTGCATCTGCTATTCTGCGTTTTAAAATGTATGTCCAGATTTGGTAATAAGAGGTTTTAACAAAGTAAAGGTTAAAGGCTGAACAATAAGTGTGGAGTTTTACTTACTCAAACTCAAGCACATCGGCATGTAGTGCGGCATCCTTCAGATGATCCGGTTCCTTGACTCGGTAGATTTTGTTCACAACATACACATCATCATTGCCGCTTTGATGGCCTCCTATATCCCCGATATAAATACACGTATCTTCCCCACAGGGGCCTACAGCGATATCCTCCCAGTCGTAGTTTTCTGCATTTTTGACCGTGAGAGTGGCCACGAGGTCGGATGAGCTCGCCTCCAGCACGTACACGGCTGCTGCAGAGTGGTAGTCATTGTGCGTGTACAGATAACCCGGATGTTTACGACTGGCCGCCAGACCGGATGCGTCATGAATTCTTTTGTCACTGACTAGGTTCATCTCCTCGGCCTCTCCAAACATGCCTGTGTAATAAATATGCTTTGCCTATATACTCAACCGCAAAAAAAGTCACTTCATGAGTTATCTCGTGACATTAGTCTGCATCCAAATTTAACTTGAACGGCCAAAAAGAGACACAAATATGGATATAATGGGTCGCTAAAACGCGGCTTAACAAACGTCCCGAATGCTTTCCATGAAAATCAAAATTCGCTTCCGTTTCCCTGTGCCTTTTCTGATAAACAGGCGACTAAAGTCGTAAGTCTTGGCATGGTGCTATTATCGATACAAGAATGTTGGATCAATGTATTTGGGTCCCCTTATTCAGAAAAGGCAAAAGGAAACGCAATGCGACACAGCCTGAAACTCTAACCATATTAGGCTCTTGTCATTTATTATGGGGGGGGGGGGGGGGGGGGGGGGGGGGGGAGAAAATTCGGTCTTAGGACTGTACCATATTTTGCGCCCCTCCCCAACTCCCCTCTCCAATTTAATGTAACATTTTTTGATGACCCACTCCTCCACCATCCCGATAAAAGATGACCTGTGCCTAAAAAAATGTTCATTTGAAAAAAATGAACTGTGTCATTTTTGTCTTAGGAAGAAGGGCAGTCTCCTAAGGTAGTCTAGTGGTTAAAGCTTTCGCTCGTCACACCGAAGGCCTGGTTCGATTCCCACATGGTATCTTGTGAAGTCCACTTCCGGTGCCCCCCGCGGTCAACTACTCACTCATGTCTTGAACACACTTACAACAAGCGGCCGCTGGCTTGATCCACCTCTTCCCGGCACACATGGCGTACATCTTGCCTGACGCCTTGTATCCCGGCTTGCAGTCGTAGTACTGGCGGGATGAGCTCGTTCTACCAAGAATGGCATGTTCTACCTCAGGGGGTGGGCCACACTGTCCTGCAAGCATCGGGAAATGTATTGGTTGATAAATGTGTGAAGGTGGAGGTGCATTGGTTTCACCACAATGGGAAACATCTGAGAGTTGTTTGCACTCGGCGCTTTCTGCCAGACACAATGTGATTTACCTGAAGTGTTTTTCTAACTTGCGTTTATTCCGATTCCGACTCCAAGAGATAAATGTTGACTTAACTTGCACGACTTACAATTGTTCCTGATAATCAGAGTTGCAGTGTCATCCCAGCAATCGAGTTTTTACCCGAATTAAAACAGCAAATTTTAAACAATAACCGAGAGGACCTCCATAAAGTCTAGACCGAGTCCGCAAAATGGACAGCGAATACTTCACATAAATAACTTTGGCTTACAGATGTGACACACGGGCTACTAGACACAAACAGATCAGGCATTGCAACTTTCTTGCCTTCATTTTTACACTAATCTTTCTTTAACCAGCAGGTATGATCGTCTCCGCATTGACTCACAACCACGCTAAGATATAAGGCCGCCGTCACAATACCTGTACACTTCTCAGTGGGCTTTGTCCATTTGCCGTCCACGCAGTTGGAATAGATGGGGCCAGTCTCCCGATAAGCACTGGCACACTTGTAAGCCTGGTAGGTGGAGTTCCCCGTCGTCCTGCTGGCGTGGATCACGTAGTGCGGAGCCGTGGTGCAACCCGCCTCTGGAAACAGAACAGCATTGCAGTCAGTGAATGTTGTTTTACGGCACAGTCAGCGATAATCTAGTTTAGTTTGGGACCATGGTGCAGCCCAATTCTGGAAACAACAGAACAGCATTGCAGTCAGTGAATGTTGATTTACGGCACATTCAACAATGTCTCTATGCCTGGCCTCCCAATCCGCAGTCTCGTCTACAAGTATTGTTTTTTAACGCCGCTCTCATTTCAGCTATATTACAGCCGTCTGAAAATAATCGCGTCTGGATAATACAGTGATTGACATCATGAGCATCTCTTTATTGAACTGGAATACGATGGCATGCATCAACAAAGTCAGCGAGCCGTTCCACCCGATCCCGTTAGTAGCTTCGTTTGACAAGCATGAGTTGCAGAAGACCAATTCTGACCCGGATCTTCACGGGGAAGACAAGGATGAAGCACCTGGGACCTATTTGGACCTGGAGCCTACACAGGGTCAAAGGAAATACGCCGTTGACTACTACTGCAATATAGTACACACAGGACAGGCATTGTAACTTTCTTGCCTTCATTTTTTCACTTTCTTTAACCAGCAGGTATGATAATCCCTGCACTGACGCACAAACGCGCTCTGCTATGAGGAAAACACACTTAATGGTCCAACATTCAGACTGTATTTGTTTGAGGACAATGCACGAATTGTTAATTTTAGGTTTTTCTAAAGTGCCGTTGATATAAATACACATACCGTAAGGCTCATGATAATGTGTTGTTGTCTTTGTGTATGTGTCCATGAGTGAGGACAGTCACATCCATGCACATATGTTCACACATTCACCGCTCGTATCCCATGAGCATAACTCGGCCGTATTCGAGAAAAAAATCACCACAAAACCTTTGATGGTCACAAATGTATTATTTAGTGAAAGATGAATCGTCAGAAACAAGTGCTGATAAAACTAATCAACTGTTAATTTGCGATTTCTATACGTAAAATTTGAAAGATATTTTTGTATAAATACATAATTGACAGAAAAAAATGAACATTCAGAACAAACAATAAATTCAACGGTCGTCTTTTCCCGATGGCAAAACGTTACGTTGAAGTTATTGTAACGTGAGTTGTTTGTTGTTTAACGCCGCACTCAGCAATATTCTAGCTGTACGACGGTGGTCTGTAAATGATCGTATGATTATCAAATCCAATGATTGACAACAGGAGCATCGATCCACGCTATTGGGATACGACGACATGCATCAACCAAGTCAGCGAGCCTGACCACCCGATCCCGTTAGTCGCCTCTCACGACAAGCATAGTCGCCTCTTACGACAAGCATGGGTTGCTGAAGACCTATTCTACCCCGGATCTTCACGTGTCTGCACCTTATGTCGGACACAAGGCCGCCGTCACAATACCTGTACACTTATCAGTGGGCTTTGTCCATTTGCCGTCCACGCAGTTGGAATAGATGGGGCCAGTCTCCCGGTAAGCACTGGCACACTTGTAAGCCTGGTAGGTGGAGTTCCCCGTCGTCCTGCTGGCGTGGATCACGTAGTGCGGAGCCGTGGTGCAACCCGCCTCTGGAAACAGAACAGCATTGCAGTCAGTGAATGTTGTTTTACGGCACAGTCAGCGATATTCTAGTTTTGTTTCGGGCCATGGTGCATGCAGCCCAATTCTGGAAACAAAAAAACAGCATATAGCAGTAATTGAATAGTGTTTTACGACACAGTCAGCAATAGTCTAGTTTGATCAAAAAAAGATTTTACACACCGTTTCGTTGTCTACTCGCTCGTGCAGTTTCCCACATTTACGTCATAATATGACGGTTAAACTAAAATTCCAACCTGTTTGACAATAGGTAGAATTAATTCTCACACTTTGCCAACCTCGTCTCCCAGTTCTCATCGGAGAGGTAATTGTATAATGTACTCTCACTGCTACACATATTGACCGCTACTACCCAAGAATATATAGTCTTTTTCAATTTCATTGCGTTAGTCCAGCAATAGCTGTATGACAGGACTTCAAGGACCAGACTAGCTACTCACTGACACAGGTCTCCTTGGGGGTGGTCCAGATGAAACTGGGTAGACACTCCAGCAGGATGGGGGTTGTCGGGATGAAGCCGTCTTGGCATTTTTGGGTGATCTCCCCAGGAGCTCTCGACACCACCACGGCATTTTCCAGGTACGGGGGCTCCCCACAGGTCACTGTGGACAACAATGGACGAGAGAGTAACGATAATTTCATCCACGAGACACCTTTCAAAATTCACCAACACTAAATGTGTGTTCCCCTTCTGCATTGTCATAGTTATTTTTGATAAATTATTAAAGCTTTATCATAATTTAACTGGCGTTTGTAATAAGGCTGTCCTCTTCTGCAATTGGCTATAAATAGAAGCATTGGTGGCATTTCGTCACATATACTCTTGGAAAAGGGTAAGGCCCCTGAATTTAATTTGCCAGTCATTTTGGTAATGCCACGAACAGTTATATACAGCTAAGAGGTGGATGTTTGCTAACGGTTCAAACGCTCCAAATACGCGCATGTTGAACGTGCAACGTGTCGGGTAGCCTTGTGGTTAAAGCGTTCGCTCGTCACGCCGAAGACCCGGTTTCGATTCCCGACATGGGTACAATGTGTGAAACCCATTTCTAGTTCCCTCGCTGTGATATTGCTAGAATATTGCTAAAAGCGGCGTAAAACCATACTCACTCACGTACTCACTCGCAATTGGATAAGAACGTGCTAGAAGTCGACGCTAAATCCAAGCAAAATTTAAATCATTCTGTAGTCTTAATCAATGTTCAATGCGGATCTTAGGAGATCGTCTGAAGGCGAAAGGTGGCAAATAACAGGCCTGATTACTGCATGAATGCCCTACAAGACTGTTGGTCCTTCGCGTGGTTTTATTTCATTCGGTTACAAGCAAATTGGCACAGAAACATTGGCAAGATAATAGGTTGAGAGCCGTCCAAGGCCTGGGCCCACTTGCACAAAGCGATCTTAGTGCTACGACTATTGTAAGCCTGTGTTAAAGTATGGTAGTTGCGATCATCTTAGCGCTAAGATCCCTTTGTGCAACTGGGCCCTGTACGAACTCGTGTGACGTCAACACGGGAGGAGCGCAAACTGGTCGGCTTTTCTCATCCTAAGCGAGAAGCGTCCACTAGACGATATCAAAGCATAGATTCTACCTTTATATGGTGGTCGAAATGGGACATCGCTTCATCGCCTTCAATTACGGTCACGAGAAAGCGATGAAGCGATAACAGGAGATGAGAAAGCCATACCCTTGCCATTACAAGCCTATTTTTGTTGGCTCGATCGTGGCTCCATCCGATTCATTCGTGACCATCTCCATTCGTGTTGTTCCGGGACAAGCCAAATAGCAGGTCACGGAAAGAGGCGAGTGGTGACGAATGCATCCGATTGTGTCACCTGTGCTAAAAATGCGATATCCAAACAGATTGCTGTTGATATTTCGAATGGCTTCACAAAGATGAGTACTTTGGCAGACGACCTGGTCGATCAGTACCCGTGAATGTTCTGAGCGTGAATGTATCCCAATTGCGTGGATCGATGCCCATTATGTCAATGATTGGATTTTCTGGTCCGGACTCGATTATTTTCAGACCGCCGTCATATAGCTGCAGCTGGAATAGTGCGGCGTTAAACAACAAACACAAAAAATACAAACAAACCTGGTCGATCAGATAGCGAAACAAAATGACAGATTGGCAGAAAAGATACCTTTAACTACGGTAACCGCATTTCACTCAAGCATAAACTGTCACCAGCATTCAATCATTTGAGTTAAGAAAAACAATGCAGTTTGCACTCAAAAATTAATAAGTAGTTTGAAAGATTAAACCACTACGAAAGTAGTTGTCTTTGCTCAATATTTTGACTACTTTTAGCGGAAATTTGACAGGTGATGGTTGTGGCCATAGCAGCGACCACGGTTTCGAACCCGGATGTTGATTTTGTATAACGTTCTCTGATTGGACAATCGATATGTGCGATAGTCCACTCTTATTTCTTTTTCACAGAAAAGTAGGCTTGACGTGGCATATACTTTGATGTAGATTAGCTGACACTCTTGCCTCGGCAAGATGATCTTTGTAAGGCGACAACCCCTTGCAAAAACCACCAGTCTGAAGGAGAATTGGATGCCCCACAGAGAACACAGACATTCAGAAATCGACTCAAATCAGCAGGTTTTAGGGCAAGGAAGGTGGTGGAGAATCCTATGCTGCAAGGTCGTCATTGAATGGTGTTTGGCATGGTGTTTGGCATGGTGTTTGGTGAGACGTGGCTGGGGCATGTGGACATGGAGGAGGATCTGTCATGATGAGGGGTTGCTTGTCCCATGACTGCAAGCTGGACATGGTCAGTGTGCAGAGGAATCCGACGGATGACATTTCCTGGATCCGATCCGATCCGAGTTTGATTACCAGCCTATTGTTTCCTGATCCGACCACATGAACGATATCGCGAGACCACACAGTTCTCGACATGTAACGGAGTTCCTGTACCAGAATGCCCTAAGGAACGAACCATTTGATTTCTGGGGGTTGACAAAAGGGAAATGGAGTAGCGCCAGCGAAGCATACCCAGAGAACCAGGATGTGAAATTGCCACAAAAATTGCCACAAAAAATATTTTGTTGCAGGTGTCCCCCCCTTCCGGAATATCAATACCAATGGTCGGTCCCTAACGACCATCCCATAACCCGCCTGGAACACATCTGGGACATCTTGGGACGCAAGATACAGGAGCTGGACGACCAGCAACCAAGCTACGGGAACTGACACAAGCACCACAAAGGCTAAGCTGTCCTTGGTACGCATCAGACGCCTCACTGGAGGCATGCTGAGGAGGGCTGAGGCGGTCATCCCGGCATATGACGGCTATATACGCAGATAACAATGTCATCACAGGGGCCAAAATATCACAAATATTCTTTAACTTGGTACTCCTGTAGTATGGGTTTTGGTGTGCAGTGTCCTGAAGACTATTGGTATACACATTCAGTAGATCTTCTTCTCTTTCAGTATCTTGCTGTTGATAACTTCCGACGATTGAGAGCTCCGCCATTTCTCAGGAATCTGTATGTAACCAGTTCGGCACGACTTGTGATATTTAGTTGGTAAATAGTTCCTTCCCTCTGATCCGCAGCAGGAGAGGCTCATCGTTTTGACGTTGAGCTACTTCAATGACATGCTGCCATCCACCCCGACTGAAGTTTGTGAGCCCTTCTGTTGTCCAGCTTCCTTTTGACTTGAATTTCTTTCATGAATACGAAGTACAAAAGATGCAGTCAGGTTGGAAGATGATGGGCTCATAGGATGGACGCCGAATTGGGCGGCAAGCTAGTTCCAAAGATTCAATTTCAGGTTGTTTTAAACGGTCAAGGTTAATTGTAAAACGCTGATAATATTCTCTGTTATAGCCATGGGTTTCTTCCAGAACTGCCGGCAGGCTTGTACATGACACGTCCATTTTATTTGGCGTTTCTGGAGGTTCTGCCATCCTTCTGCGCTTGATCGCTCGTTCAGCTTTTCCATCTTCTCATCAGGATCTTTGGCTTTGCTCAGACGTTGTAGTGGGCCATACTTCAAGCCAGGTACATGTATGATGCACACTGGCTCTGGATGACTGGGGATACGTTTCCGTTTTGGTTGAGATGTCAAAGCTGTCTTCGAGTTGTTCCCGGTTGTATAAGATGTTGGTCTCAGTCACAACAGTTCAACCTCAAAAGACACATGATCATGGTGATGACATTGTTACAAGGTGGGACATTTCCCTATATATTAACTTGGGTATTCTGTAAGAGAATCTTAAGTATGTAATTGGAATATGATTTATTTCTATGAATGCATGGTCCCTGTTCATTTCAAGCCATTCATATACGATTTGGACGATTCACATTTGGACATTTACTGTAAATTGGAAACTTAAGTAGCTAAGTGATGTGTGAATTAAATGTTAGTAAGTGAATTCGTCTTTTACCTTCGGTGGTGCCCCCTGCAAAATCACCTTACCTAGTAGCTGTACTAAAACATCTGAAACTCAACTTGAAATGGCAAAATTTGTCAAAATATCAAGCCTGCCTCCAAGAAATTGATTTGTATATTTGCTGAAATAAATAACATTTACATTATGATCAGTTTTTTTGCACAGCTTTATGGTTGCCATCTTGAATATGTTACACATAGGTCCATTTCATTCAAAGTTCTGAAATCGACTCGAGCATTATGCGGTGAACCTCTTATATGCATACAAAAGTGAGTGATATCAGATTTGTCAAGAAGTATTCTATACGATTGTCCAAAAGTAAATCAATAATCAGCCTACATCAAATTATGGTGTTTATATATGGTTTCCTATGGTATATAACACATCAAGGTCTGGGAATAACACACAAGATGACAAGCCAAATCCTGAGCATACATCCAAGCGTTGTTCCGATGTAGCTAAGCCGAGAATGCAATATTAGGTATCCTACTCTGACATTATAAGAGTAAATTTGTTCCAAATTGTGCAAAAGATTTTCACCTGGTAACATCACATGTTAAGTAAGTACTTCAAGAGATGTACTGGAACATGTGTTAGAAGATTATAGTGGAATCAGGCACACGTACCTAGAACATATACCGGATTAAAGGTTTCTGCGAGAAGAATTTATTTTCGTCGGGATGTATGACGTTCGATTTGCCATGGGTTGGTCCATATTCACTCAATACCAATTATTGATACCTCATTGGAGAGGTATTTATATATGGATTCCAGTGGTATATCACACTTGAAGATCAGTGGATCACTAGTGAGATGACAACCCAAAACGTAATCATACCCCCAAGTGATATACGGCAAAACCGGGCAAAACCGGGCAAAAACGCGATATAGTATACTATACTTTGAAAGGCTGTAACAACAAGTTTGTCCCAACTTTTTTCTTGTTAACATTCAAAATCATGTTTAGTATGTTTATGGGCTTTATGGGTTTGGATGTGTGTGTGTGTGTGTGGGGGGGGGGGGGGGGGGGGGGGTGCTCGTGGGTCATACCTAGCCCACGGCCTATCATTTACTCCAACAACAGTCCATCCACCCCCGTCAGGACACCCTGAAGCCCCATACTTAACTCACCTGCCAAGCTTTTCAATAAAACACACAATGAAATGTCCATCGGTATTATGAATATAACTTGTCCTAATATATATATGTCCTAATGTATCGACACAGAATTACTCTTTTTGAAAAAAACCCACATGTTCTGGTATTTATGGCATATATTTGGGGGCCGCGCACAGGTTTTCAAACCTCATGGTCAAAACAGCAGAGGGCGCATAACTTGTGTAAAGTATATCACTTCCAACATCAGTGGACTGTAAACCGATAGGATTGATTGCAATTCAGTCCGTGACAAATGCACTACGCTGAAACATTTCACATATCATGATTAATAAATAATAATATATTGATACAGTTGCTACCTAAAGCCTATTCTCGATCGACTTCTACTTAGATCCACTGACCCACAAAGGAGATACTGAGGGTCCCACCCTACCATCGATACGAGGTCACGATATAGTACACAAGTACTCATACACTGACATTATTTTCCTTCATATGAGTTGAATAATAATAATAAGCGAAGTACCATATAAAATCGGCCCAGATTCAGCTTTTCAAGGAGAAACTACCTGAACAACCACTGCATCGAGTCGATGTGCACTGTGTTGAGTTGATCAGCAACCCTGCTGAGTCGCTTGCATGAAGTCTTTAATTTTCTAGAATGAAGTACCTCCACAATTCTCGTTAATAAAGTACCTCTCTCATTCTCGTCATTTAAGTATATCTGTAAATCTCATGAATAAAAGTCCTCTGTCATTCTCGTTAATAAAGTACCTATATAATTCTCGTGTATGAAGTACCTCTACTATTCCCGTTAATAAAATACCTTTACAATTCCCATTAATAGGCTAGTAGAAGGTCTTTAATTCTCGTGAATGAAGTACCTCTGTCATTCTCGTTTATAAAGTACCTCTATAATTCTCGTGTATGAAGTACCTCTACAATTCCCGTTAATATTCTAGTGGTACGTTTATAATTCTTCTTTACAAAGTACCTCTATAATTGTCCATAATAGCGTACCTATATCATTCTCGTTGATAAAGTACATCCACAAATCCCCTAATAAACCTCCAGTGACGTAATCCTATTGTCATAATGTAAAATCAAATGACAAATGTTTCCTTTTATATTCCCGAGGATCGAACACGCTACCTTTGTATCGGTAGCCCAATGAGTGTACCACAAGGCAACAGAGGCACTGCTTTTCAGGATGTCATCTTCAAGAACCGTACGCCAGCAACATATATTTTACGCTCGTCTCCTTAGGTTCATGGAAAGTATGTTGATAAATGTTGTTTAAATTTTCTTTTTTCGATTTGGGTGTTTATGATATTTATAACACTTATCCTCAGGATAAACCCTCTGGGCTGCCGCCCCCCTGTAGTATCCTGCAGATGCGGGTTTTAAATATCATAATGACCCTCGAACGTTCATCATCCTACACTTAATATACTATCCCGTTAATAAAGCACCTCGACAATTCCCGTGAATAAAGTACCTTTACAATTCCCGTTAAAAAAAGTATTTTTTATAGTTCTCCTTAATAAAGTACATTTACATTTCCCGTTAATACAGTATCTTTATAGTTCTCCTTAATAAAGTACCTCTACAATTTCCGTTAATGAAGTACCTTTACAATTCCCGTCAATAAAGTATCTTTATAGTTATCCTAAATAAAGTACCTTTACAATTTCCGTTAATAAAGTATCTTTATAGTTCTCCTGAAGAAAATACCTTTACATTTCGCATGTATAAAATATCTTAACAATTCACGTTAATAAAATACCTTTATAGTTCTCCTTAATCAAGTACATTTACAATTTCCGTTCATAGAGTATCTTTATAGTTCTCCTTAACAAAATACCTTTACATTTCGCGTTAATAAAATATCTTTACATTTCACGTTAATAAAGTATCTATATAGTTCTCCTTAATAGAGTACATTTACAATTTCCGTTAATAAAGTACCTTTATAGTTCTCCTTAACTATGTACTTTTACAATTCATGTTAATAAAGTAAAGTTTATAATTCTCGTTAAAAAATTCTTCTCGCTTACTTATTTAAGTACATCTTTAAATCTCATGAATAAAGTACCTCTGTCATTTTCGTTTAAAAGGTACGTATATAATTCTCGCTGATAAAGTATTTCTATAAATCTCGTGAATAAAGTACGTTTATAATTCTCGTTAACAAAGTACCCATATATATATCGGTAATAAGGTACCTTTACAATTCCCGTTAATAAAGTACCTTTATAGTTCTCCTTAAAAAGGTACATTTACAATTCACGTTAATATAATGCCTTTATAGTTCTCCTTAATAAAGTACATTTACAATTCCGTTAATAAAATATCTTCAAAATCAAGTTAATAAAGTATATTTATAGTTCTCCTTAATAAAATATCTTTACATTTCGCGTTAATAAAATATCTTCAAAATCAAGTTAATAAAGTATATTTATAGTTTTCCTTAATAAAATATCTTTACAATTCACGTTAATAAAATACCGTTTTAGTTCTCCTTAATAAAGTACATTTACAATTTCCGTTAATAAAGTATATTTATAGTTCTCCTTGTTAAAGTACATTTACAGTTTCCGTTAATAAAGTATATTTATAGTTCTCCTTAATAAAATACCTTTACATTTCGCGTTAATAAAATATCTTCACAATTCACGTTTATAAAGTATCTCTATAGTTCTCCTTGATAAAGTACATTTACATTTCGCGTTAATAAAGCACCTCTACAATTCCCGTTAATAAAGTACCTTTACAATTCCCGTTAAAAAATATTTTTTATAGTTCTCCTTAATAAAGTACATTTACATTTCCCGTTAATACGGTATCTTTATTGTTCTCCTTAATAAAGTACCTCTACAATTCCCGTTAATGAAGTACATTTACAATTTCCGTAAATAAAGTATCTTTTTAGTTCTCCTTGATAAAGTACATTTACAATTTCCGTTAATAAAGTATCTATATAGTTCTCCTTAACAAAATACCCTTACATTTCTCGTTAATAAAATATCTTCACAATTCACGTTAATAAAGTATCTCTATAGTTCTCCTTAACAAAGTACTTTTACAATTCATGTTAATAAAGAAAAGTTTATAATTCTCGTTAAAAAATTTCTTCTCGCTCACTTATTTAAGTACATCTTTAAATCTCATGAATAAATTACCTCTGTCATTTTTGTTTAAAAGGTACCTTTATAATTCTCGCTGATAAAGTATTTCAATTAATCTTGTGAATAAAGTACTTTTATAATTCTCGTTAACAAAGTACCCATATGTATATATATATATATATATATATATATATATATATATATATATATATATATATATATATATATATATAGGTAATAAGGTACCTTTACAATTCCCGTTAATAAAGTACCTTTATAATTCCCGCTGTTAAAGTACCTTCATAATTCTCGTTAATTCTGGTTACACGCAGGTTATGTAATCGTTCCCCTCGTTTTATGTAAGTGTTAACGCTCGACCACACCGACATTCGTCTCTGTTACAGACCCCAAGAGCACTTATTTAATATGTACAAAGCAAAAAGTTAAGCACACCCCTATTTCTGAACCATGACAAATGGCAAAAATCATGGCATGGGATGACTGACCACAGGAGCTGGGCGATTCCAATGTCATCGGATAGAACAAACATTTGACAACAAAAAAAGAAGATATTGGTGAGTTGTGATTGAAATTTACTGATAAAAACATCATGGTAACACAGGTAACAATACCTAAAAAAGTATAATCTTGAGACAACATAATTCTTTCCGTAATTATATCTTTCATGACTGTTACAAATATTGGCACCAAACAATAATGAAATATATTAGGGTGTGCTAAACGTTTCTCTTTGTGTATAGAAGCCACCCCCCTCAACCTTTTTTATCCCCTTCTCAACACTAGCAGCCAATGCTTATCCCCTTTCAACTTTTTGGGTCCTTAAATACACGTTCCTCCCTTTGTAAAATTTCTTTATTCAACCAAATATATAACTTCATTATACTATATGTCTTTTAACACCCTACCAAGTACCTGTACATGCGTATCTGTTGGAGGGCAGCGTCCACTTCCCCGTGTGCAGGCAGGTGGTTTCTATTACCTGGTCGTTGGCCATGGAGAACCCCGGGGCACACTGGTACCGACGGATCGTCCCCGCGATGTTGTCTCCAGGCAACGTCTCGGCACCATACAGTCGAGGCAGCTCACCACAGATTTCTGAAACGTGAGCAAGTATACTACTACTACTACTACTACTACTACTACTACTACTACTACTACTACTACTACTACTACTGTTCATGCTAAAACAGGGACTCTATACGAGACAAGTGACCCACTTACTAAGACAGGGACTCTATTTGAGACTATTGACCTACTTACTAATACAGGGACTCTTTACGAGACCAGTAACCAACTTACTAAGACAGGGACTCTATACGAGACCAGTGACCCACTTAATAACACAGGGACTCTATACGAGACCAGTGACCCACTTAATAACACAGGGAATCTATACGAGACCAGTGATCAACATACAAGGAAATGGACTCTATTGAAGACCAGAGACCTACTTACTAACACAGGATCCGTTCGGTCTCGTCCATCGACATTCGGCAGAACAAACGACAGTTACTTTGGTCTTGCTGCTGTAGCCGGAGACACAGCGGTAGATCCGAAAACACCCCTCCTCACCCGCCATTACGGCGTTGTCTACTTCCAGATGATTCCCACAACATACTGGATAAAGCAAGCATGTATATAGGAGTATGTCATGTATAACATGGCGTTATGTGCCGCTCGATGACAGTGTAGATTCCCACAACATACTGGATAAAGCAAGCATGTATATTGGAAGATCTCATGTATAACATGGCGTTATGTGCAGCTCGATGACAGTGTAGATTCCCACAACATACTGGATAAAGCAAGCATGTATATTGGAAGATCTCATGTATGTGCCGCACGATGACAATGTTGAGTAAAAATGTAATGGGGAGTGTGATGGTATGTTGAGGATATTGTCATGTAGGCAATAATGGTATGTAGAAAATGATGGTATGTAGAAAATGATGGTATGTAGAGAATGATGGTATGTAGAAAATGATGGTATGTAGAAATGGCGGTATGTAGAGAATTATGGTATGTAGACAATGACGGTATGTAGAGAATGATGGTATGTAGAAAATGATGGTATGTAGAGAATGCTGGTGTGTAGCGAATGATACTACATAGAAAATGATTGTATGTAGAGAATGATGGTATATAGAGAATGATGGTATGTAGAGAATGATGGTATGTAGAAAATGATGGTATATAGAAAAAGGCGGTATGTAGAGAATTATGGTATGTAGACAATGACGGTATGTAGAGAATGATGGTATGTAGAGAATGATGGTATGTAGAGAATGATGGTATGTAGAAAATGATGGTATGTAGAGAATGATGGTATGTAGAGAATGATGGTATGTAGCAAATGAAAGTATATAGAAAATGACGGTATGTAGAGAATGGTGGAATGTAGACAATGACGGTATGTAGAGAATGCTGGTATGTAGAAAATGGTGGTACATGTATGTAGACAATGATGGTATGTAGACAATGATGGTATGGAGAGAATGGTGGAATGTAGAAAATGATGGTATGTAGAGAAAGATGGTATGTAGAGAATGATGGTATATAGAGAATGATTGTATTTCGAGAAAGATGGTATGTAGAGGATGATTGTATGTAGAAAATGATGGTATGTAGAGGATGATGGTATGTAGAAAATGATGGTATGAAGAAAATGATGGTATGTAGTGAATGATGGTATGTAGAGAATGATGGTATGTAGAGAATGGTATTATGTAGAGCGTGATGTTATGTAGAGTGTGTGAGTGAGTTGTGTTTAACGCGGCTTTTAACAGTATTTCAGTTAGATCACCGCGTGTCAGCTTAATGTGGGAGGAAAGCCCTAAGTGATGCAGGTCTCAGACGTTAACCACTTCGGTTAAACCCACGAGCACGGGTATGGTGCTGAGAAACCCAGAAACACAATCGGGGCAAACTGGGATTCGAACCCACAATCATAGGTTTCTGGCGTGTCCAAGGGGCGCAACTGGACGACTGGGCCACCCGTGCCCCATGTTATTTAGAACATGATGGTAATGGTGTTATGTAGAGCGTGATGTTATGTAGAAAATCATATCATGTTGAGAATGGTGTTCTGTAGATAATCATGTTATGTAGGGGCGGTGGGGGAGCCTAGTAGTTAAAGCGTTCGCTCGTCACGCCGAACGCCCGGGGTCGATTCCCGACATTGGTACAATGTGTGAAGCCCATTTCTGGTGTCCCCCCCCCCCGCGTGATTTTGCTGGAATATTGCTTAAAAACGGCGTAAAACCATACTCAATCATGTTTTGTAGAGTGAGTGAGTGAGTATGGTTTTACGCCGCTTTTAGCAATATTCCAGCAATATCGCGGCGGGGGACACCAGAAATGGGCTTCACACATTGTACCCATGTCGGGATTCGAACCCGGGTCTTCGGCGTGACGAGCGAACGCTTTAACCACTAGGCTACCTGACCGCCCCTGTTTTGTAGAGAATCATGTTATGTAGAGAATGGTTATCTGTAGAGAATTACGAGTCTATCCCCTTTTGTTAATTGGTCTCTAAGCACTGAACCCGTGTTGTGTTGACAGCAACGTGGTATACATCTTTGATACACATCCTATTTGGGGTAATAAACCGGAAATACTGCTCAAAGCGACACATTCCATTAATTATCATCGAAATGTAACTTACATGTGCATTTAACATGATGAGTAGACTGTTCTACAGATATTGAGTGATCCCTCGAAGCTGCCTGATCTGTGACTGTTTCATGGATACTCTCTGGAACCTCCTCAGTCGAGAATCTTCTGGGTACACTTGGAGCTGTTGATTTTTGTTGTTCTATACTCGTATCTAAAAGTGATCCGGTCTTTCTAAATGATTGGAGCTGCACGTCATCTCGAGTTGTCCCTTCCGTACTTGCTGTTGCATCAGAACCATCAAATGTTGTATCTAAATATGATCTAGTCTTTCTAAATGATTGGAGCTGCACGTCATCTCGAGTTGTACGATCTGTTCTCCCTTCCGTACTTGCTGTTGCATCAGAACCATCAAATGCTGTTGCAGTGCCCCCTGAACCACCTCCTCTTGTTGCAATGTCTCTAAAACCACCCTGCGTTGTTGCACCACCTATGGAGCCACCTCCTGTTGTTTGGTGCCCATGCAATGTCTCTGTAACGCGTACAGATGCACTGGATTTCCTGCTGGAGTCAGATGAGCGATTGGTTTTTCCGTCCGATGGTTTGTTGAGTGTTGTATGCACGGCTGAAATGGACTTATTTGAGGATGTGGCGTTTTCTACTCCACCAATTGAACCTAGTGTTGGGCTTTTTATTTGAACATTTATGTCTTCCGCTTCCTTCTTGTTGGAGGAATCTTGCACACTGTTCGCCATGCACACAATATCATGCATAGCTTGTTGCAGTGCATTTTTTGCGGGAACACACCACATCTTGAATGTCTCGTTGCCTATTTGATCTGAAAAGCAAATGGTTGTATCAAAATGATGGCTTTTTAAAGAAATCATTATGTACTTTTATTTCCTTATCAACCGAAAAGCGTTACTCGTCATTGCAATGCGTCAGTGGAACTGTTACCACTTAAGGCGGCTACTTTTTCGGGACATCTTTAGTAAGTGAAAACAGTCATAAGGTTATGAGGGCAGCGACTGAAATAATATATAATTATGTTCAAACCACGTGTCCAGGTTTGTCAGAGGTCGTGTCAAATGAAAGTTGAGAGGAAGAAATTATTATAAATCCTGCAAGCTCACTTATCTATCATCGTGTTGGTTCGAATAACCTAACATGAACATAAAAAAGAAAGATATCATAGTCGTAAGTAGGTCATGTAGATTTCTATAAAAACGGGTAGCTATCAAATATTAGGGATTTTTGCCATGTATCCTTTTGCTGAAGAACATTCTTTGTGAATCCGATATTGTGATGAGAAAACAAGGTTCCCTTTAATTACTCTTTAATACCACATTAACACTAACTTTGAGGTTAAGAAAGTAAAGACCAATTTTATCCTTTCCATATCATGCATGGTTCGCTGGCACTAACCCGAGGCACCTTCAAGACTCAGACCCCATACGGATGCTGTTGGAAAGATTAGCTCATCTTCCTCTGCTGTCTCATGCTGTACCTGACAGGTATTGTGAATGGTGTTATACACAACCGCAGAGCAGGTTCTTTTCTGGAGACACACCTCAACGCAGAAGAGATGACCCCTATGGATGTGCCTGAAAGACAAAATGGTGTTTGTCTTCTAATAAAATCTTATTATATAGGCTATATCTTATATCTTCTAAGACTTTTTTTCACTGTGGTTTTGCGTGCTAAGACGTGCAGGTTTCGTACATTAAATTACACAGAGACTTTAAAATCCTATCACAATATACCATATATTATCAAGTCCCAAATTTGGCTTAATGTCCCATCCACCCTATTCATTGTAATTGTTAAACCCGTAATTTTTCATATTAATTATTGGGGGCACGGGTGGCCCAGTCGTCTAAGGCGCCGCGATTCGCTGTGCAGAGTTGCGTCCCTTGGGCACGACCGAAACCTATGATTGTGGGTACGAATCCCGGTTCGTCCCGATTATGTTTCTAGGTTTGTCAGCACCATACCCGTGCTCGTGGGTTTCACCGAAGTGGTAAACCAACATCACTTCGGACTTTCCTCCCACATTAAGCTGACACGCCGCGATATAACTAGAATACTGTTAAAAGCGGCGTTAAACCCAACTCACTAACTCATATTAATTATTCATTTGGTAAATTTTGTATCACTGATAGTTGGGAAGGGGTGTGCGATGCGGTTCCGGGGATGTGTTTGATGTGATATGCTTGATTTCAAGAATTAAACTCAGGCTCATAAAATCTGATCATCTCATGAATTGCGAGAACTGAGCGCTTCAATTTGATAATTAGTAGTTCCCAGATACACAAAGTTTTTTCAGGTGCTTTTCAAATGTCTTTGAAAGGTAACAAACAGGGTGATTGATCGATGCCATTCACATCCTCCTTCAACAAATGTCAAAACTAATGTCACAATGTAACATTACAAAAGAATCTCAAAGAACACATGGATCCTCTTCAAAAGATCGCCACACTCGATAAAATGGCTGATAATGTGTTTGATGAAAGAATCTGTGCCGTGAAGGCCCGAAATGACGTCCTTCATAAGGCATTGAAACACAGCCAGTGCGGTTTTTAAAACCCAAATGGCACACCTGTGCCCTTGTATAGTCCATCTCGTGTAGCAAAAGTAGAAATCTACTTTGCACTTACGGTAGTCAGATCTGATAATACCCATTCAAAAGGTCAAGGTCAGGACTGAATTTCAATCTTTGGAATTTTCGTCAGAATATGGGGAGCAAAAGAAACTATTTTAGCTGATTTTGTCGTATGCTTGATTTTCAGTTGAAAATATCTTAAGATAGCGATATTATATGAACATGAGCTGTACTGGCACTTAGTCAGCATTCAAAGAATGACATTTTTCTATTTTTTTAAAGTTACACATTAAAACTTGTAAAAACCAAAACAAGATTCACATAGAACACATATATTAGACATCTTATCTTTGAAAATCAAATTTAAATATCAAACATGGTCGGAGTCATGTGGTTGCAAATTCATGTCATACCCCAGCCTTCATTGAAATAATTGTCAATGCAATAACCAGTCTAGATTATCCACCAAAACAGATTAAGATTAAAGGGCGAAACAGCTGTGGAAATTATATGCAAGGACCACTGAAAATCCATGATGACACCAGGTGTTCGTGAATAGGGTAAGCATGTTCTGCCCTTGGAACACCTCAATTATACCCCTAAGATTTACCCAGCCACAGATTAAATGTGCTTTCTAAAATGGTGGTTAAATAGCACTAATCAAATTTAACAATATTTCTTTTCATTTTCAATTACATACAAACCTAACTAAACACAGTTCAGTTGGCTTTCATTTTGTCCACCGATAATCTAAATTTGATTGGTTCATTGCTCTTACAAACGCTTAAGTGTTCCTCTAACCTCGTGACCTAAGACCAACTGAAAGCAGGTGGACCCGAACAGTTCCTGAACTGACTCTCTAACAGCAAACAACAAATGAATGCCTTCTTCCCACTCAAAGCAGTAAACCTTTGTAACATTCTTAAAGGTCTCTCCAATGCACATTGTAACTCAGTGTGATAAGAATTATATTTGACCTGCCTAATCACCAACTCATACATGACAAGTATGAAGAACAAATTCAAGGCCAAATGGTCCCCCTTGCAATTTGCACATTGATGACATCTGTGCACTCTGTACTCCCATGTGAGCCACTGCAGCGAATACAGACTGTACTGAGAGTTCATCTCTTGGCACTGTATCCCAAATTTGGACATTTGTAACATCGGAGTGGGTTTGGTACATAAACATCCAGTCCAATACCAAAATATCCTGCTTTGATGGATTTAGGAAATTTGGAAAGGGAAAAGGAAAGGTTGGTCCTGTTATTATTAAACCTTGTTTTCTTATGAAACGCATGACAGCTGAAACACCTTGTGTTTTTCAGTTTTCAGTTCAGTCACAATCTCTTCTTCATGCATGTAAGACAGATATCGGTCTCTGTCTCTTACAATCCAAGGAAACGAGTTCAGTGTTCTGTGTGAGACAGCAACCTCTACATTTGCAAATTGACTGATTGACAGGGTTAGAGACTGCTGTCTCCTTGCACACTTCAAAAGTGTGGAGCCGTTATGGAGGCGGGCGACATTTTCAACTGTGCCACAACAACCATTTATGACCTTGGAAATGGCAAACAAGTTCAGTTTCATAGGTTGATGATCTGATGCCTCGATTACAATGAATCGAGCGCAGGAATCCAACTGGAGATCAGTTTCGTCATCTGAAGAAACCACTGAACCAGAGTGTTTTATAGATATAATGAAAGAAAGTGGTTCTGCACCCCTCCTTCCCGTCAACCACTGAGTATCAACAAGGACAGGGTCTTATTGCATAGGATATCCAAAATGCAAAACACCAGGGCTACAGGGGTGTTATACGCCAGCAAATATATCATGAATAGCTATATTTGTCTACCAAATTAACTGTCAGGCTGGTTATGCCCATACCAATAGTTTAGAGACATACAGAATTCGGCGGTCAACACTACCAGATTGCCGCATGAGCCACCACCTTTTGACATTGGACTCTAGGCAATATATTACTTTAATAATTAGCGTTTTCAAAAACCAAGACCAAGCAATATATTTGTGAAAAATAAAAAGCGCAGGGGACATTTTGTGATTAGGTTTTTCTAACCCCTGACTTGCATGAAAAGTCCTAGAAAAGTATGACACATCTTAACGCAATATAGGCTTGAAGAAATGAGCTAAATCTTATCACAAGTTGTCCTAACACCCAAAAATGACCGTCCATAAGAGTATCATGTGCCAAACTCATTACTTGTTCATGATATCTTTGTGGAACCAGAATCTGCTGAGAGAATGTCTACTCTTCTTCAGCAGAAACTTCAGGGTGTCTTCATTTTCTTATCAAAACATATTTTTTTGTAGTGGAAACAAACAGGTTAGAAATTGAGTTTAAGGATCGTCACCCTACGAGGAAATGAGCTGCGTCCAATAGAATACAGGGTCAGCTAACTAAAAATGTGTATTGCTCGAAATTACTCTCACTTGAAGAAAAGGTGTCTTGAAAGTAGCAGCAAGTGGCATCTTTTTCGTTTGAAATCTCCTGGGAGATCTTGTTGGCCATATAACGAGTCACAGCACATGAAGGAAATATACGTGGAATGTCTTCCTGAAGGGAAACAGTGCTCTCTGGAGAGAATCACCAATACCCAATAATAAAGCATCTGTTGCCACCGTTTAAATTTTTTTGATCTAATCTGACATTACTTTTCTAGACACGTCAAAGAAATTGTGATCTCTCTCCTCTCTCTTCTCCTATTTGAAATTCTATCACCTATTTTTCATTTTGAATTTCAAATTCTCAAAATTTTAGTTCTCTTTAAAATTCCACTTCCAGCTCTTTAGTTCAATTCTTTCAGATTTATTGCAATCTGCAATGCCATCTTGTTACTTATTTTCACTTTTTCTCATTGAAGGCTACAGTGTCTTGCAATAATTACAAAGCTGTAGGTAACATTTCTGATTTCTTCAAAACCCTGATTAGAGATTCATCAAAATTATCACCTCTTTATCTCCATATTACGTATTCCAATTAAACAATAATCCCATGTAAAGCAAGGAGAGTAGATAGTGTGTTTTGCAATAAATATTTTTACAGATGTAGAATTTTCAGCAAATGTTTTTCATATCCCACATGATCTCCCAATGACTGTAAAGAGGTGGTCTCCAAATTGAAATCAGTCAGTACAAAACTAAATCGTGAAAGCAGTAAATGACCACACAAGATTAATGTATATTCAACAAATTATATTTGAATAAACCGTTTTATGTTTACAATCAAAACGGACAATACAATGAGTACAAAAGTGGCAAAGAGTATGTAACACCCCCTATTATATATGTCAGTGCACTCACAAATACCCAGAATTTAGTCACTGCGAAACGTCTTGAAACACGCCGGCCTCGGTTCTGGAATCCAGAATAGAGTTGGAAGCTGTCCAGAGTGGTATTGCTCTATGCACTTTGCGTTCATAACTAACATGTCTCCCCATTTATTAACAGAATTATTGGCTTTCAAAAGAGCCAAGCCCTCAGTAGCCATTACAGTCTGGGGCCGTCTAAATCTCAGACTTTATCAGTTTGTAGTAACCGTTGATCCCCTGCATGGTATGTAGACGACGATACCCAGCTTACATAGTCTCCTGATTCTTGTTTGTCGGGTCGCCCTACGACTCAAAGAATTTCGCGTTGATGAGGTCACTGTCAAGATGCGATTACTGAGATTCAGTGTTTACAGATACTGGTCGTAATGGTGACGTGCAATCTGTCCGCTCTTGGTGATGTTTGACGTATCACCTGTCTATCTGACTATTGAATCAGGTTTATAAAGACGTTGACAGCGGAAGGTACTCGACACATGGATGTGGCTTGCTCCCATCAATAACAAATGTTTGACTTTCAGTGTTCTGCTGTGCATGGCGTTCTGGTTGCGCTTTTTCATCAATGTGTGTGTTTAATGACACAAGATGGTGCGAAATCCAACCCCCATTAGGCACTCGGCTTTCCATTTCATTTGCCTTGGCATTGAATTACAGATCTTACAGTGTGTGAGTGAATGAGTGGTTTCATCTCGGTAAAGAACAATAACGATGAACATAACACATTGAACCCATTTATGGTGAATAGCAGCTGGATCTTCACATTAAAACAAGAAAAGGTAAGACTCTATTATCCAGAAGGATTACTCGCAAATATGATAACGAATACGAACCTTAAAAGTTACATAGAATTAATAAATACCACAGTCACAAGCCTACCCTGCCGCCTCCATTGCCCGTAAGTATATAAAACATAAGGTGAATAAATGCTTGAAAATAAAAGCAGTAAAACCCTTTCCACAATCATAAGAAATATCTTCTAAACGCAGAGTCTATTATTGTGTTTATGAATCTCCATCAAACAGTGATGACACCAGGTGTTCGCTAAAAGGTGAGCGTATCCTGCCCTACCGGTGGCATACATCACAAAGACATGCAAAGGAAAGTCAAGTGTTCGCAAAATAAACCCGAGGAAACCAGAAACATATGGTACAAATCAAAACGGAATTGCATTGGACATAATTATTATCACTGACGCGTCAAATTTGGAAATGTCATCCACAACTCTACCATAAAACGTTTTGAAACTTTTTGTAAGCCCTTCAATGTTGTAATGAAAAACCTTTTCAGCAAGAGTGATATGACGCTATTTGAAATGTTCGTAGAAAGAGATTGTATCTCAAAAGTTGCTAAATGCAGACACCAAAGGCTGGAGCTGCATGAATGATGCTCGACATAAAGGGAACGTTATCTATTGAAAAGTTGAAGTCATCCCTCTTGTCATACAGAATTGTGGAAATGTTTTGTCACTCTGAATCCGTATGCTTATATTTAAATATCAAATAGATGAGCCGGTTTCACTAGTCTCTTTAATGTTTAGCTCAGGTGGGTAAAACAGTAGAAGGTAATGTCCTCCATAAACCCATAAAACGCTTTACAAATTTTACTAAGGTCGTGCATGTTGTAACCCTGAGCCCCATTCTACAAAGCGATCTTAAAGCTACGACTGTCGTAGGTGTATGTCAAAGTATGGGAGTCTTAGCTTCGATCGCATGTAGGACGGGTCCCAGGTGAAACAACTTTTGAAAACTGGCGCATGAAAGTTTAAGTCATCCCTCATAGATCCATAAACTGAAATGTCCTACCTCGATATGGCAAAGGTGTCAATGATGGAAACCAGGATAACCACAAGGTGACATTTTCCCACCATTCTTTAACTTACAACCACAGGATCACACGTTTTCAGAGTTTGTTCTCTGAAGTACATAGGGTACGAGAGCTGGACAATACCTCGTACATGTACGTCTATGCCTTTGCTTGGTAGCTGCTTGCTACCTTTCTGTCCCTAGATAGAATTACAAGTGTAAACAGGCTTCTTGTCGTATCAGGTACAATGTCTGTCATTAATCATTCAGGACAGTCCCACATAAACAGAGAAAAACATTTGGTTCGAATAGCCACGTCTGTTGTATATAATATCCTACTCGCACCAATCTTTATATATTTAGAATGATATTATGTTTAATACTGACATTAACTCGACCATCAAACACAGCAACACACCTACTTCTGGACTGATAGGTTGGTTAGAGATAATACTTTTTGTTGGAGGCAGAATATCATTTCATTGACTGTTTCAAGGCAATTACTATTTCACTTAATTTTAAGGGATTTTTTTATTTCGAAATAAATCTATTAGATAATTTGTGTAAATTGGATTTGATTGTTGTTTAAGGTCACACTCAGCAATAATCTATCAGGCGGGCTGTAAATAATCAAGTCTGGTGCAGGCAATCAAGTGATTGATAATTTACCAACGATCCACAACTTTTTGTACGATGATCTAACTCACCAATGCTGACCTCCCAACCCATTACGTCGCCTCTTACGACCCTTGCACAAAGGCGTCATTGTTTGGGTGACAGTTCAATTAATTTCAAAAACGATAATCACAAACCTTTCAAAATGGGTGAAGAATAGTTGGTTCAGTTATAACATAGTTTTGTCATTCATACAACAGAGAATCAAGGGGCAAAATTGTTTTACTGCATTAACGTTTGCCCAACTCGAGTGTTCATACGAATAAACATATAAATCAGCACTTAGATCTTTAAAATTGGATAACTGAGTCAGTTTCTAACAGTAAACGTTAATTCATTCTGTCACTGGCGACCATCTTGTAACAATGGCGGCCATTTTGGAGTTCAATTGGCCAACGCGTAACACAAGGAGACAATTCATGCACATTTTGTTGGTTGCGTCACTATTTGAGTGATTCTCACCCAGGCTCTCACGAGCACGGGCATGGTGCTGACAAACCTAGAAACATAATCGGGACGAACCGGGATTCGAACCCACAAACATAGGTTTCTGGCGTGCTCAAGGGACGCAACTCTGCACAGCGAATCGCGGCTCCTTAGACGACTGGAGCACCCGTGCCCCCGCACAAAGTGAGCCCTGTAGGTAACATGTTAATGTATACAGAACAAATGACGTATTTCCCAGGCTTAAAGTGCATTTACAGTTTTCAGAGCACGCGGAATGGCAATGATCAGTTACTCCTGGGCCTGTGTTATATGCATGGCTATCATTATTAATGCATTGCACTGTTAACGTATACAGTCTCCGCAATCAGTCAAACAACCATCTCCTTTTATGCAGTTATTCAATTGTTCATGGGCATGGTCCATGGCTTTGGCAGAGAAAACTTGGGCAAAATATGTGCACGACATGTGCACGAATGTTTATTCAAAGTTTCACAAGTTGATTTACAATACCCGTTTTATCAGTTATCAATTGATCCCAAGTTTAAGATGGTGTACCCTTACCTTTGATTTTCTTACTCGTGTTCATGATCAATACCTTGGACATAGTGGCACTACGTGAATTTATTTTGGAGACATAATGTTTGCCATCACTGACTTATGTTTTGTCTAGAAGTACGCTGGGTTTCAGAATTAATAATTTTGAATTTAGTTCCCATCATGTTCCCTGGCGACGGAAATGGTGTTCAGCCTTTTTTGTTGCCTTCCCAAGCTTGTTTGCAATCATTGTTAAATCAAGGTTGACATATGTGAGAATTTGTAGAAGACTTCGTAATATATTCATCAGCTATTTTATGAAGTTCATTGAAGATTGGGGTTGGGAGCTTCAATAAAATGATCAACTTGTCAGTGCAAAGAATTTCATAAAAAGCCAAGTTGGCCGAAGTAAAATTCCATTATGATGACGGAAGAAGGCATCATGGACTGACCAATCAAATTGATTATGTAAATTTGAATCGACAACTGACAAGTCCAGACAAGAATAATTACCCGTTGCAGGATGTAATTAAAATGCATTAATCGTTATTTAAGTATAAAATCCTCTAGTAAGGTAATCAGGACGAATCGGGAATTCGAACACACGCTCATAGGGTTCTGGCACTCATAGGTTTCTGGCACGCCTAGGGGGCGCCACTCTTCACAGCGAATTCATCGATTTGAGAGAGTGAGCGAGTTTATTTATAATAATAATAATAATTGTCCATTTGTATGGCAACCTTTTTCATGCTGAATATCAAGCTCAAAGCTCATTATTACCCCCGTCATTCTTATCTCTAAGGGGAATATATAGACGACCTAGCTGCCTGTTGAAATATTATCACCGCGGTGGAAATACTTTTCTGTATTTTCATTTTAGTTTTTGACATTTTCGCTTTTGTTTTTGACATTTTAGTTTTTGTTTTTGACATTTTCATTTTAGTTTTTGACATTTCCGCTGCACATTTCAGCGATTCAATAGCTACTTGAAAGTACATTTTCCATGTTTACGGTTGTTTTTATACATGATTTATCACATATTTGTATGACAAATTGTGTTAATTTGCAAAAGGTTATGATAAAAGTAAGTGAAATATCAAAATATTGAAAAACAGACTCCATGTCCAGTGCCGTAGTTAACTACGCCCTTGATGTCCCCCATGGGTCACCGTATTTATATGATAGAGGAGAATTATGTAGGTCAGATGGAGTCCGTTACTTGTAAACAATTTTGTTTCGCTTTGTCACTATAGCTACAGTTATTAATTATTTAGGAAGGACAGAAACAAAACTGGTGTACTGAAATGAACTTCACGTTGCTATGTTGCACTCTTGTTATTGTTATTCTATCTGAAAACCGTTCATGGTCTGAAGAATCTCAGGATCCTGTGTTATATTTTACTATGTTTGGTCACAGGAGTCCGTATCTAAAAATAGACGCCCTCATGCATATTCATGACCATCTCCACACGCGAGCCCGAAGGGCTTCGGGCATGAGGGCGTCTATTTTTAGATACGGACTCCTGTGGTTTAGTTTACCCCACAACAATACTCGAATTGAACGCGAGTAACATCTTGTTCAAAGGCAAAGACATGTTCCAAATAGGACTGAGTTTGGGAGTGGATAGTGGATGCTGTGTCCCTTGTAAAAGCTTCGAGCTAGTTATAAGAACTGGTACTCCCACAAAATAAGGTTTCCGGCCAGATTATGCATGTTAAGAGGTAATAATCTTACGTCCAACCAAATAAATGGTATCATGTTACTGGTAATAATGGAATCAAAATGTGCCTCAGGATTGTATTAGCTAATTAGTTATAGTCAGATCACGAGGGCGAACGCCAGAATGCTCTCGTGGCTTAAAACGTTGTGCTTTATGTATGACCTGCGGCTATTCATGGTAAGAATATATGTTCCCAGCAACCTGTGTAGATGGTAAGACACGAATAAATAGATCGAGAGGTCGGGGTACGAGTGATTGCATGTCATCGTATCTTAATTACGTTGTACGATGGTCATGACTCTCAGTCAGTGGATTGTCTGGGCAAGACTCGATTATTTACAGACCGCCGTTATATCACTGGAATATTGCTGTGTGCTCAACCATACAAAACATACATTGGTGGCGTTCTGATAATGGTTGCTATCACCGACAACGAGGTCATCTGTCACAAAGCCATATTGTACACCCATTCGTGACAAACTCGAGTTATTCCGGGACAAGCCGAAAAGCGTCTCGTGCCCCTCTCATGGCCATTTTTTCGACCGGGTTCCGTCTTAGCGCAAACGGGCATACCTAAAACAATTGTCAACTCGTTGCGTAATGGTTCACATATATTTCCACATATATTATATATATTTCAAATGCAATTTAAAGCACATCGGGACATGCGGAATTATACAGTATGAATGAACACATTTAACTGTGTCTTGGGTATATTTTTAGATGCAAGACATATGTAAAATCAAAAATTATTTCTGAGGGATTCTTTGACGCAGAACTTGAAATCATACGCGCATTCTGATTGGTTTGTCGTATTTTCGCGCATAACATTCATCGATAGGGGGACGAGTCTTCTTGCAGGTCACGGAAAGGGGCGAGCGGTGACAAATGGCTGTACACCTTGAGTACCCCGAGTGACGTCATAGTTATTGGTATTTAGTTTTCACTCAGAACTTCAAGGCAACACATGCTGGTTTCACGACACTGTGGGTAACTATATTTGGGATAGGGCAGATGGTAACATTATTTTATCAACAGCTGACTAGTCCAGGGGTCGACATGACCGGGAATGTATTTTACAGCTGGCAATACCACTGGCGACTGACATTGTGTCCCATAATGCAACAAACACTACATCCGGAAAGGACAAGGAACAACGCCCTCATACTAGATTCTCTGTTTGTGGTTGGGTATGAGCCAAGTGGTAGAGGTATTAGTCTACCAGCCCAAAAGCCCGGGTTCAAATCTATATTCTGGTGAATCTATATATTGTGTTCCTGCAATATTTCTACTCTGGTGTAAAATTCAGTCACTCAGTCGCTCGCTCACTTGAAACGTCATAATACAGAACTCAATCTGTGGACGTCGTCTGTAGCGACCAGAACTCAGATAAACAGTCCATAATTTCATAAACCCCATTTACTGCGGCAATGCTTTCGGTTAGCTCTAAAAGGAATGGCGATATATATGCGGAATATGATTCAGTTTATATTATTTTGGGGAACCATACTGAATATCATCTTTTGTATATTTCCATGTTCCATTCCAAATAAATTCTTCACTATAAATTGGGAACGCCTTGATTGTTTTGTTATTTTGAACTTGTCAAATATTCACACGCCTTTATGTGCGGCAAAATTCACATTCATGCACTACTGTCGTCGACTTTTCCTGTTTCTGTTGACGACTGTCAAAGAGATGAAATATGAAGACAGGTCAGTTGTTTTGCATGTCACCAATTCAAGTCATACCATTGAAGATCATCGTTTTGTCACCCAAATGTCACCACGCTATATCTCATATGTTCACTGTATTATAGAATAAATATGACAATGAGGATGACATTCTTTCATTGTTCTTAAGACAACCTATACAACACAAGCATTTACTTATATAATATACATAATGTACACATGTGCGCTGGTTATACCTTACTGTTCTATATTTCCATAATCTTGAACATAGTATGGACACGTTTAGCAAGAATAAGTATTGTTTCGTATCATTTGATAAAAGAATGGATCTTATGGATCTTATATCATGGCAATTAATAATATTAGAGGGAAAACATGAATACCGTTTTCGACATTCTAAGCGCCTAGAGCGCTCTCAAAATTAGAAACATGAGGCTCCTATTAGAATATTATTTCGGTAGAAAAAACAGTGTTGATAAATACATTTCGTGGTTTATGCTGACAGCCTGAAATGTTTATATAGGACATATATATTTTTCCAGAATTTAATTGCCTATAATTAAGGGTGCATATGACACACGAGTGTGTATTATACGCGAATAAATAAGTCTTGTGTACATTGATCAATCCGAAGGGGTGCTTATTGGGATTGTTCACTAGCCAGTATATTAGCAAATATCGCCGTGGGCGCTTATTACGTCGAATACGGTAGACTAAAAGATAACAAGTTCCAAAGAGTTATGGATGTGTTATGGATGTGATACGAATGTGGTACGGGTGGTACGGTCGTGGTACGAGTGTGTTATGGTCGATACGGATGCGTTACGGATGGTACAGATGTGATACGGGTGTGTTAAAGATGGTACGGATGTGGTACGGGTGTGGTACGAATGTGTGACGGATGGTACGGGTGTGGTACGAATGTACTACGGATGGTACGAATGTGTTACGGGTGTGTTACAGATGGTACGGACTCGGTACTTATGTGTTACGGGTGTGGTGCGGATGTGTTACTGATGGGACGTATGTGTTACGGATGTGGTATGCATGTGTTACTGATGGTACGTATGTGTTACGGATGTGGTATGAATGTGTTACTGATGGTACGTATGTGTTACTGATTGTACGTATGTGTTACGGATGTGGCATGAATGTGTTACTGATGGTACGGATGTGTTACTGATGATACGTATGTGTTACGGATACTACGAATGTAACGGGCTGTACGGTGTGTTACTGATGGTACGGATGTGTTACTGATGATACGTATGTGTTACGGATGTGGTATGAATGTGTTACTGATGGTACGGATGTGTTACTGATGATACGTATGTGTTACGGATGTGGTACGGATGGTACGGTGTGTTCCGCCTTGAATAAAGCACACACAATACGTGTGACATGAACAAGTATTTAAACATCAAACATATGTAAGATAGTGTTTATTACACAAAATAAAATATACAGCTCTTAGTTCCGTTGTACAAAACCTTCATACATAAAAGTTCTTTTGTACTGTCTTTGTCAAGTATTCACTAAAGAGAATCTCATCAATATCCATGTCTGCACACTTCTGACACACCAACTGTTATACTACAAACCGGACTTGACAGGAAACCCGAAACCCGAATTGTATCACAGACTTGTCGGCAAGAGTTGCGTGCCTTCCATCACAATCTCATGTACAGATATTTACAGTAATCAAATGCTCGTGATTCAGAAATATCGAAATATTGAGCATGATATCACAATCAATTTACCTATAATATATACAGTATACAGTACATAAATATAAAAGCATTGAGCTTCAACAGGATTTGAATAGCGCAGTAAACATTATTCAAATCTAATTTCAAATGAAAATTAATATAATACATATCACGTTCTTTAACAAGATGGAAGAAAAATATAAAATAATATCATAGCAATTAAAGCTTTTGACCTGCCACTCCTGGCAAAGCAAAACGGGGGAAAAGAAACTCACTGGCTATAAAAAACAATGCTTTTTGTGTTGAGAATACAATGTTATCAAAGACACATATATACACACACGCACCCATGCACACAGAGAGAAGAGAGAGAATAATGTTTATTATAGTGTCACATGTTATATACACTTCATACTAAAACACGAACACGAACAGTAAAATATAACATCCGACCAGGTATGGTCTACGAGACACTTAGACATAAAAGCAAATTCTAACGCCATGGTCTGGGTTAGGTAAAATAAGACATATACTAACACAATGTTTAAAATTAAGGTTAGGATATGAACACGCACGCACACACACACACAACACTTCCACTTCATCAATTTGGCAAAAGGTACTTTCAATATCTGAAAATTTGAAAATCAGTCAAATTTGCTAGAACTCGATGTCACTCTTACACAACCATTACCAAGCCTCGACATGTTTTCGAACATGCGTAAACTGAGGTTAACATGAGTTCACAGTCTTCATCAAGATAATCTTGGGCAGTACCTGAAATACCACACATAAAATGCAACCTTGTACCCACGTTTTACTTGAGTGAGTTATGTTTAACGCCGCTTTTAACAGTTTTCCAGTTATAGCACGGCGTGTCAGCGTAATGTGGGAGGAAAGCCCGAAGTGATGTAGGTCTTAGACGTTTACCAATTCGGTGAAACCCACGAGCACGGGTATGGTGCTAACAAACCTAGAAACATAATCGGGACGAACCGGGATTCGAACCCACAATCATAGGTTTCTGGCGTGCCCAAGGGACGCAACTCTGCACAGCGAATCGCGGCGCCTTAGACGACTGGGCCACGCGTGCCCCCGTTATACTTGAATATTCCAAATATTAAATCGGAAGGACGATGGGCTACTGGCTCAACATTTTCTTTTTAGAAAATGTAAAAACAAAATAATTAATTCAAATTATCCAAGCAATCAGTGTCCTTACACAAAAAAATGCCTGGTCAATATTAATTATAACCCTTTAGCAATATTAATTATAGCACTTTAGAGAGTTCATGAGTTTAAAAGGGGACTATGTGATTGACTGTAGAAAACAGTTTGAATGTTAAAACCCACCACGAAAGTGTTGATACATGTCTGCAGGGTGAGATGTTACGGTGAATATTTGGGTACACGAGAAATTCACACCGAACCCCTGATCATTGGCACAAACAAAACATATGCCGCCGGATACCGTCATCTGGAATGTACCACATAAGACGAACCTATTCTTCAGTACCGACCCGACCGCCTTACATTTGACAGCTTATCTTGAATTCATATCGCTTTCTCGAACATTGGACACGGTCCCAACTTTGACTTCTATAGAATTGTGTACCTTTATCTCGAATTTGTCTTTTGCACATTGAATATGTTTCACAAGCACATGCCATGCTATCTCGAATGTCAGGACATCTCGAATTACAACATGGTCCCACTAGGTTCGAGATACCGGGGTCCGACTGTATTGTTAAATATCATCTTTCATGCAGGCATCAAAAGATGCGGAATGAAACACGTCACTAGAAACACACAAAGTCTGTTTCTTATCGTCTCTTAACCGTCTTCATCACTCGGTCACACTCTGATCCATTCGTGACCAACTCGTGTTATTCCGGGACAAACCGAATGCAGGTGACGGAAAGGGGCGAGTGGTGACGAATGACTCTGATCTTTACATGTTGACGGGGCGCGTCTGCAGGGTCAGCGGGGGGTCTGGGAACATGGTGATGCACTTCTTTCTGCCATAGTCCGTGTCATCCTTCGTAAACTGAAGGTCTCGTAACAACAAGCCCAATGTCACCTTCATCTCCATCATGGCAAATTTGTTGCCGAGGCACATCTTATTTCCGGCGCCAAACGGACGCCATTTTGTGTTTTCTTGCTTTTCCTGGTGCAGGAACCGCTCCGGCTGAAACTCGTCGGGTTCCTCCCAGTAGGCGGGATTCCTGAACATACAAATTCACAAAAAATAAATCCACTTTCTGGTACAATTACAATGGCTAGATATAAACTCTTCAAATGATAAACCACCCCGTGGGGATTACAAGTTAGTTTTGGTCTCTAGCAACTAATGCTGGTCACAAGATTGATTGGTTTGTTGTCTAACGCCGCACTCAGCAATAGTCCAGCTATATGACGGCGGTCTGTAAATAATCGAGTCTGGACCAGACAATCCAGTACTAGTGATTAATATCATAAGCATCGATCCACGCAATTGGGATCGATGACACGCATCAACCAAGTCAGCCAGCCTGACCACCCGATCCCGTTAGTCGCCTTTTACGACAAGCATAGTTGCCTTTTACGGCAAGTATGGGTTGCTGAAGACCTATTCTACCCCGGATCTTCACGGGTCGCTGGTCACAAGAGGCCATAATGGATCGGTGACTTGGTTGATTGCGAGTCATTGTTCCCGACAGCGTGGGTCGTTGGTCACAACATCGATCACTGGTTTGTCTTGTGCAGACTGAATTATTCACACGCTGGAATATTGCTGAGTGCGGCGTGAAATAAAATAAACAAACAACTGTCAGACAACGTTGTGGGAGAAAGATTTGCCAAAATGTGTCGAGATCTGCAGAACATCATCCACCATTATAATTCATGATTTCCTAAACGGTTACTTAAAGGCGGGCGTCGCTATATTATACTGGAGCAGTCTCAGTGTTAACAAACCGTAAACAACGTCTCACATGACCTTAAACAAGAAACAAACTGCATTGCTAAAATAGTGGGTGTTTAGCATGCTGAACACATCAGGGAAGACGGGCATATATAAATCGGATTTTGTTCTTTTCGTCATAGTATTAAAACGGACTGATCACAGCCTATTCATATCTACGAGGAACCCCTTTTTCCGTCGACAGTCAAATTGAAATGGGTTATTAAACTGGTTGAGAAGGGTGGTCTGTGGTCAGTCTAAGCCTTCCCTGGTCACACCTATATCTTCACGGGAACAACAGTCCACATTATCCACAGATATGGTATATAATGTTCATTATACTCCACTCCCGAACTCGTCGCTGTAGGTTCTTGTTTAAACTGTACTCTTTCTTGTATTGACTGCTAAATCGGTCCATATATCATATTGTAAGGGGGCATTCAAATGTTAACGCTTGGGATTCGAACTCCGAAACGTATTATATTTAAGACACTGACATTAACATTCTGCCACTTGGGAGGCGTGGTGGAATATGTACATGAATGTTGGAAACGTGTTACGATTTGGCATAATAATATTTTATGTCCGTTTCAATTACTTGCCTCAGCCCTGATGCGTTTACATCACATGAAATGGCGAATGAATATTTACTCGCCCAGAGTTGGGGTAAAAATTAGTTATACTGTACTTTCATAGGTCTGTGGGTGAATACACCAACAATTTCGAAATTTTAAAATTTTAAAACTTAAAAAATTTAAAAAATTAAATTGGCTGATACCCCTCGAAATGAATTGCTCCGATCCTTATTATACCCCCTCACTCACACACTAAAGAACCCACCTGTGTAGTGCCTCCACACAGAGAGTGACGATGGTGCCGGCAGGAATGTGGTAGCCGTTGATGACGTCGTCCCTGACGGCCTGCTTGTTGTAGTTGGTAATAACGGGGTGAAACCTGGCAACAACAACGTGATTGTTGGACATGGCATACGCGTTATGTAAACAGGGTCAAGTACGGCGGTTGGTGAGCCTATGGGCGGGAAAATGTAAATAGGTGAGGTGAGGTGAAATGGGGTTTAACGTCGCGTCAAAGATTAATGCACTTATATAGCGACGTGCATGTACGTGTGTGTGTTTGTGTGGCTGCTTGTACTAGTCCGGACTAATGCCGATTAATAGTGCTAGCTCACTGAGATACCATGCCGCAGTTTAACATGAATACCCCACTCAGACACAGTATACTGACTCCGAGCCGACCAGGCTTTAGCCCCTTAATGCCGAGCGCCAGACAGGGTAACAACAAGTACCATCTTTTAACATCTTTTAGTATGACGTGGCCGGGGATCGAACCCCGGACCTTCCGCTTTCCGGGCTGACGCGCTACCACTAGACCACGGAGGCGGTCTGAAAAGTTAATAAAGGCGGAGTGCGCTTGTACACCTTGTGTCCAGATCAAACGATGACCTCGTCCTTGCCGCCATGGTCACAACCTTTTGTCACACATCGTGTTGCAGACTTGCTCTTAATGTTTGATCACATCAACTTTATACGCATCTGCCAAAGTTTGTTTCCTCACAAACCAACTATCAATGTTTCATCACAGAACCTCTATCAATGTTTGACCACCGACCCTCCATTGATCACAGATCACTATTAATGTTTGATCACAGACTATCTGTATTTGATCACAGACCCTCTATCGGTGTTTGACCACCGACTCTCTATGAATGTTTGACCACCGACCCTCTATAAATGTTTGATAAGAGACCATTATCAATGTTTGACCCCCGACCCTCTATCAATGTTTAACCACTGACCCTCTATCAATGTTTGATCACCGACCCTCTATCAATGTTTGATCACAGACCCTCTATCAATGTTTGACCACCGACCCTCTATCAATGTTTACCATCGACTCTCTATCAATGTTTGATCACAAACCCTCTATCAATGTTTGATCACAGACCCTCTATCAATGTTTGCCCACAGACCGTGTACAAATGTTTGACAACAGACCCTCTAACACACACGTGACTGACACACCTGTAATGATTGGAACACCTTCGTACACGCGGGAACATTCGAGATCTGGCAATTTTTGAGTACAAGACATTTCTAGAAATCTCATCCTTCTTCTCAACACAGGGCAACCCAAGAATACTAATATTGAAACCAAAACCCACACCATTCTACAAATATTTCAACTTGATTAAGGCATGGACATTGTCGGTTTCTCTTATGTTTTGCCATGAACCATTCATTAGACTCGTCGTCCAAACAAAGCATAAAGACAAGTCTATCATCCCCACCTTAACGTCTCCTTGATCACACTCTCCAGATACTTCAACTTGTGAAGATGGGCGTCTGTGATTGGTTCACCCCTCGGAGGCAGGTGCGTGGTGACCTCTGACCTGACTCGTTGCTGTATTTCCGGTCTAGTGGCCAAAACAAGGAGACACCAGGACATGCAAGTGGCTGTATTCTGCGGAAGAAGTCACAGGTTGTTTTTCTTCAAGTTTGTGATAATGTAGGCACAGTATGCATATTATAAAGCCCAATAAAACAACATGACAAAGTGTTTTTCTCCGTATGGTAAAGACCGCCAATGACCACATGTCCTGCCTATAGTATGACCTACATATAGTATTATGAGTGAGTGAGTGAGTTTGGTTTAACGCCGCTTTTAACAGTATTCCAGTTATATCGCGGCGTGTCAGCTTAATGTGGGAGGAAAGCCCGAAGTGATGCAAGTCTTAGACGTTTACCACTTTGGTGAAACCCACGAGCACGGGTATGGTGCTGACAAACCTAGAAACATAATCGGGGCGAACCGGGATTCGAACCCACAATCATAGGTTTCTGGCGTGCCTAAGGTACGCAACTCTGCACAGCGAATCGCGGCGCCTTAGACGACTGGGCCACCCGTGCCCCCTATAGTAGTATGACCTACATTTCATGTTGGTTGCTAGTATTCATACTCGTAGCTTGGTCAAGCACCGGATTCACAAACTCACACTCATATATTCTTGTTCTCTCATATGATACATTTTGTTCTCAGAATTGAACCTGGAATCGTTTTTTATAAATTTTATTAAAATTATTGAATGCATGAATAAATAAATATTATTTTGACAACATGGCGGGTGGCAACATAAGAATCGGTTCACCCATTGCATGCCTGGTGGAAATCCAACCCAGATTGGTTCCTCAACTTACGAACACCTTACCTACTGGGCTAACACACCGCTCCTCTACAGGACCGGCATTCATATTAAACTTTTGAATCGAGCTGCCCCATTCAGTCCATTGAACGAACATGCTAAGCCTGAAGTTATATGTACCAGCAATCTACCTGAATTCCAGCAGCAAAGAAAAACATGGCGTGATCCCGGAGCTGTTTAGGGGAGAGCTGTTTCCCTGTCTCCTCATCCCTGGCAAGCATCAGCACGCTCAAAATATCCTTCAGTCCATCCTCATCCACTGGGGGATAAACCATACACATGGTAACACTGAACTCCACATAGATACTACTCACTACTATATGTACTATATGACACACACCTGGACACTATATTGAGATACACCACCGGGCAAAAGAAAGTACACACTTAAAACTTGGATTTGACGAAAAAAAGTACAAACGCTAGGTTGAAAATAGTCGCCGGAACACTGCTACCGTAAGGCCCAAAACACAACCTATGATACCTGTATCAAATACCTTACTATGGAACAACATTTTTGTTTGTTTCTTTTTTAACCACCATCAAACATGGGTGTATACTTTCCTTTTCCCCGGCAGTTTATATGAGACACATGTGATCACTATATACGGATCTATGACACACATCGGAATAATGACATGAAACATACATGTATACTCCCCAGGGAGCTGAGAATGAAAATCGAGTGCTCACTGATCCATTGACCGGGGTAATAATAGTGTAGCGCTATGAGCATCCACTTAGTGAATTGAATCTGGCGCATTATAATTAATGCACTTATTATTATTATACGTAAACGCCGCTTTAAACAGCATGTCAGTTATATTAACTAAATGTCGGAGTGAGTGAGTGAGTTGGGTTTAACGCCGCTTTGAACAGTATTCGCCTAAAAGTGTGCGGGAAGCCTAGCTTGATGATGGTCTTTGACTTTTGATATGAAAGATCATAATCGGATTTGATCAGGGATTCGGACCAACGATTAGCAGACACTGTCACGGCAAAGGGGCACAACTCTGAACAGCGAGTTGTGCTTTAGACCAGTGTGACCGCGGACTTCACACGAGTATGACGTCTAATAGTCGACCAGATGTCCACGCTCTTGCGATATACATACCTGTGTCGGTGTCGATGGCGGCCTTTTTCATGCGAATGGCGTCTTCAATTATCTGGTCGCAAACTTTAAGATTTCTTGAATACGTCCTGTTGGCTTTAGTTGGTAGGGCCATGGCTAGTTTAGCCCACAAAAACCTCAGTTTCCTATAACAGATGGTTTCTTTGTGACATCGGGATTAAACTCGGTACTCATTCCTATTCACCAGCATCAACGTTATCCCATAATGTGCTACTTTCATTACAAACTGTCTTAACTTGAACAAGGGGCGGTCGGGTAGCCTAGTGGATAAAGCGTTCGCTCGTCACGCCGAAGACCCGGGTTCGATTCCCGACAAGGGTACAATGTGTGAAGCCCATTTCTGGTATCCCCCGCCGTGATATTGCTGGAATATTGCTAAAAGCGGCGTAAAACCATACTCACTCACTCACTCACTCACTTAACTTGAACGCATGTCGCCTGCCACTGTACTAGGGGACGGATGATACACTGAGTGGATGATTGGAATTGTTACTGCAGTCAGCAATATGTCACGGTATCACAGCGGCATATAAAGAATCGAACCTGGGCCATAAAAAACAAGCTTCTCGTCGTCAAGGTTTACCCAAATTGACCGACGAATAGGAGACTGAGACAAGGATATTGTCTACACTATAATGTGAAGGTATAGGGTTTTACTAAGAGGTTCCTAAATTACCCTATTTGGGGAAACGAACCCGGACTTAGCGTGACGTGCTAACGCTTTAACCACTGGCCTCCCCATGCAGTTGGTTTGAGACGCTCACCCTGGCTTATACTTGGAAACACCGTTAAAAGCTTTTGCGACGTCTTCGTGAGATGCTGACAGGTCACACATCCTGACCCCGAACCCACACTGGGCAATATTCTCCGTCGTCTGAAAGAGGGACAGATTTATGAATAGTACTGTATTGTCTTTCTTACGATTGGCCCTTACATACAAATTGATGATAACGTCCAGAGTTCTGAAGTTCTGATTAAATAATGACATCGCACTCCCGGCAATATGTATAGATAAGGACAGGGATGTTTGGCATACAATGTTATTATTCTAATGACACCACATTGAGATCAGATACGTGTTATTCGAAGTACAGTTCAAGAGCTCCAGTGAGTGAGTTGTGTTTAACGCCGCTTTGAACAGTATTTCAGTTATATCGCGGCGTGTCAGCTTAATGTGGGAGGAAAGTCCCAAGTGATGCAGGACTCAGACGTTTACCACGTGTGTGAAACCCACGAGCATGGGTATGGTGCTGAAAAGCCTAGAAACATAACCGGTTCGTTGTCAGGTTGAAAACATAAATTCTTAACCTTTATGACATACTCGTAGCGACCACTCTAAATCTAAATTGTGTTAATGTTGACATAATCAAAAAGATTTTAAGAAATAAAGGACCCAGCTGTAGTACAGGGCATAAATTTCATCAAACCAAAGCACACAATCAAATGCCAAGGTTTTTTTAACTGCACCCACGATAGTGAGGCTGAGTTTACAAAACAAATACATTTACTTTCGTATTTTTTATATAAATTTAATATTTTATTTTTTCATTTAACACACACAAAAGCATAACAATAAAAAAATAGCAATAGAGAAAACAAAATTAACCGTCATGAAACTTCCGAATAGTGATGCTCATTGGCGAAAGTGGTTTTAGTAGTTGAAAGGTTGGTTGGTTGGTTGGTTTGTTGTTTAACGCCGCACTCAGCAATATTCCAGCTATATGACGGCGGTCTGTAAATAATCGAAGCTGGACCAGACAATCCAGTGATTGATATCATGAGCATCGATCCACGCAATTGGGATCGATGACATGCATCAACCAAGTCAGCGATCCTGACCAGCCGATCCCGTTAGTCGCCTTTTACGACAAGCACAGTCACCTTTTACGGCAAGCATGGGTTGCTGAAGACCTATTCTACCCCGGAATCTTCACGGGTCAATAGTTGACAGGACATGAAGATATACTTTGTATATCACTCACCAGTTTGCTCAAATCCTCTGCCACTTCCACCATCCCATCGTTGTTGTCTTCAGCCTCATTTGTCCAAGCGTCTACGAGACCTTCCCCGTGAGTCTGGATAGCTGGGATCATCCCTTTAACACCAAGCAGTGAGTTAGTGAACGACCTGGAAATCTGTCTCGCATCGACACTATAGGTTCTACTACTCCAAATCAGAACCAGTTGGTGCAGTGCAGTTTTCGTAGGGAGCCTTCGAAAGATATCTGCAGGCTGTGATTGGAGGATATTGTGTATGATTTGTATGTCTTTTTAATGTACATCCATCCAGTTATTAAAACTGACCATGGTTTTCTATATTTAGTACTGTCTTTTTCAACATGATGACTTATGCTGAATGTGACCACAGCTTTTTTCAAGTAGGTGACATTTGGTGCGAAACTGGGGGTGGTGTGTTTAGCTTCCTGTACTCGGAAAAGGAGCTGGCTAAGCTAGTCATTTTTTGGTTTTTATTGCTGCTCTAGGGCCAAACTGTGCACACACGTACAGGTAATAGCTAATGAAGGCTTAGTTATTAAAAAAAAAATATGTAACGTTACTATAGAAGTCTATGGGAAAACATTTGGTTGTGTGTAAACTGTATGGGGTCTGAGAATCCACGTACTCAAATTTAAATGATTTTGCTATGGTTACCGACATGTTTATGTTATACCGATATATGTTTTCTATGCTTTATTTATATGTAGATGTATATATTGAACGTCTTTGTGTGAGTAATGTATGTCTACACACTGATAACAGTGAAGTGTCCTTTTTTCGTGAAAATAAACTAACTGAGTGAGTGAGTATGGTTTTACGCCGCTTTTAGCAATATTCCAGCAATGTCACGTCGGGGGACACCAGAAATGGGCTTCAAACATTGTACCCATGTCGGGAATCGAACCCGGGTCTTCGGCGTGACGAGCGAACGCTTTAACCACTAGGCTACCCGACCGCCCCTATATAAACTAATTGAACAATGGGTACTCGTATCACAAATAACTAGGTAAGTGAATATTGTTTTACGCCGTGGGCAGTAAAATACAGGAGGGTTGTAATAGTCGTGCCCAGTGGATGATGCCATGAGCACCGACACTACGCCGCCAGGGGGACACGTAGGCGCGGTTATATACTGTAAAACCCAATCCCCAGGTCCGTCGGTTGCTAGGACAAGCAGGAGTAATTTAGATCCATTCTGAGAATTCGAAACTACAAGTAATTACACATTTAAATTAAACAGGAGGTCCTGTGAGATTCGAGATTCCTGCACTAGACTTGCTTCAGTTGTGTGGAGCTATAGCATTACAGTAAGGGATGGACGGAAGGAGACTGTGATGCTACACGCGAAGCTTTAAGTGAGATGTTCTCTTGTGGAGAGTCTGTGTACCAGTCTGTGGGACTTACTTTGCAGGACCTGCGTCTTGAACGCCTGGCTACACAGTCGGCGGTGAACCTGATGCTCCTCGCCGTTCATAAATAGTAGGCTCATGCCTATCCCTGGCTCCAACACTCTGGAAATGCATGATAACAATAAAAAACATACAACGGATTATCATGAACCACTGCATCTTCCCGAGGTGAGAGAGCTAAAGGACTATAAATGTTAACCTTGCTTCGGGAAGATGGTATCAATGTTGTACGATAACCTCCCCGATAATATTCCCTGCCCAGAATAAAACATCAGCATCTACAAATACCCTTCTCTGGTCAGAATGTCACGAGTATCAGTGCAAATATTTGCTTTTATTGCTACAAATATAGACCACAGGGATTGAAAAGTGGGGGTTGGCTGGGTTGTTATGAAAACAAAAAAAATCCCCGAAATTTCTTGAACCAAATGAAAGATGCTTCATATTGTTGAAAAAACGAACTTGTCTGCCACAAAAGTAATGAAAAACATTATTGCAAAGTGGAATAACATGGGAAACACTTTTGGCACAAAGTTTTAATTAATTTTTTTTATCTCGTCTCAATACAAAATCCAAGCCCCATCCTCGACACCAACCCCCACGAACCCAAGAATATAAAAATGTTAGTCCCTAAGACTACCATTATTATGTGTTACAGAATGAAAGTCGTTAACATCGCACTTTGAAAGCAAGCCCTAATTTTCGCGCATAACACCGAATGAAGTATGTGTAACACAGTTTGATTATATGTCTAGCAACAGCAGGTTTTTCCATGGATATCTACCGTCCACGACCAGAGTGAGTGAGTGTCTTGGGTTTAACGCGGCTTTTAACAGTATGACAGTTATATCGCGGCGTGACAGCTTAATGTGGGAGGAAAGCCCGAAGTGATGCAGGTCTCACACGTTAACCACTTCGGTGAAAAAACCAACAAGCACGGGTATGGTGCTGACAAACCTAGAAACATAATCATGGCGAACCGGGATTCGAACCCAAAACCATTGGTTTCTGGCGTTCCCAAGGGACGCAACTCTGCACAGCGAATCGCGGCGCATGAGACTCGATGGTATAGGTGATAGATACAGTACTACACATCGATAGTGGACTCAATAGACATTAAGAAGGAAGAAAATGTTGAAACTTGTTCAAACATGTGTCAACCAGAAACCTGCCCTAAGACTGGTCCATCCGTGACCCATTCAAAAATCTTTGTATCATGTACTGATCATAGTTGCCTCCCTTATCTCCAAAACAACATCCCCAGAACGTGCTGAATCTGTAACTTCAGCAACTATTATTAATGTCCCCTTCACATACACGGACTTTTCTTATGAGTCCTGTTTTTCTCAAAAATCAACGCTTGGAGTACAAGATTTGATTTTAATCACATTGAGATTGAGTTCCTTCATTACAAATACCAGGTGCTAGGGCGAGAAGCATCGCCTACAGCACACACTGTCATCTCCGTGAATTACATTTCAACCAGTAAGTATGGGTATCACATGATTTGGTATGTTTCAGAAACCTGGAACTTCAGTGACCGGAAGTAAACTCACGTTTTGACATAGTTGGGTCTGACGTAGTTGCTGTTGTTGGCGTGCTGGATGTGGTTCATGGCCTGGGCGTCAGCAATCATCACCCGCTGCTCGCCCATGCAGTGGAAGTAGCGGATTACGCCGGTTCCCATCTCCCGCATCCATCTGAAACAGTTCCATCGCTGTACTTACACCCTCTACTGCCAGGTGACACGACCCGTGAAGATCCGGGGTAGAATAGGTCTTCAGCAACCCATGCTTGCCGTAAAAGGTGACTATGCTTGTCGTAAAAGGCGACTAACGGGATCACGTGGTCAGGCTCGCTGACTTGGTTGATGCATGTCATCGATCCCAATTGCAAGGATCGATGCTCATGATATCAATCACTGGATTGTCTGGTCCAGACTCGATTATTTACAGACCGCCGTCATTTAGCTGGAATATTGCTGAGTGCGGCGTTAAACAACCAACCAACCAACTAGGTGACACGCAATGTAGAGTTGTCTCCCTTAGACGTGCCAGAAACCTGTGATCGTGGGTTCGACCATGCCCTTGATAAACGTCTAAGACCTGCATCAGTTCGTGCTTTGCTCCCACTTAAATCTGGCATAACTGAAAACAGTAAGCGGCGTTCAACCAAACCAACTCGCACTACAACCACATGGCGACACATCAGGTGTTTCCCCTCGGAGTTAAACCTCACTCACTCACTCACTCAGTAAGTCGTTATTCAGAAGAAGCTCTCTGAAACCGATCTACCATATGCATGTTTATGCTGCTACGAAAATGCTGATGTCCAGATCCGTGAAGATCCGGGTCTTCAGCAACCCATGCTTGCCGTAAGAGGCGACTATGCTTGTCGTAAGAGGCGACTAACGGGATCGGCTGGTCAGACTCGCTGACTTGGTTGATGCGTGTCATCGTGTCCCCATAGCGTAGATCGATGCTCATGATGTCAATCACTGGATTGTCTGGTCCAAACTCGATTATATATATTGCTTGAATAGTGCTGAGTGATGCGTTAAACAACAAGCAAACAAATAAACAAACAAGGCTGGTGGCCAAGGGCAGAATATTCCCAGTACATAAACAAACAAACAAACAAACTTACTCCGTGTGTATATCCATCTTGTCCCCGTTGAAATAGTCCTTCATGTTGCCATACAAGAGACTTCCTTTCGGTCGGCTGGGGATCTGGAGGTAGACGAAGCATATCATGCTCTGAATACAATAAAACCCCGTTAATCCATAGCAATAAAACCTACGAAATAACAATATTGGTACGTTATCAGCGGAGCAATGCTGTTGTGTATATTCAGATACCGTGTTGATTGAAACGCCATCTTTCACATAGGATTAGATAGACTACCGGACAAAGAAAGTATACACCCATGTTTGAAGGTGGCTGATACGCTGTGATAGAACTGGATTACTGTTCAAAGCGGCGTTAAACCAAACTCACTCACTCACTCACTCTTAACATACTGGTGCATTGAGGCCTCACCTTGTTCAGTGGAGAAAAGTACCGTTTCTTTACAAATACGCCCAGGCCCCAGATAATAACTCCCCCACAGACGGCAGCAGCAACCTCGCGACGCCACCAGCCCGGCAGCGTGTACACCCCAACCACAGACATCGTGAAATCGTAAGACACTGAAATAAGATGGGGGATAAGTCAAGATGGTTGTTACTATAACGTATCCAGATTACAGCACTGTGAATATTCCTATAACTAGTACATATGGCATCCCATCTGAGGCTGGATTTGAAAACATCTAACAACGTATACGTAGTGTGGCTCCAGCATTTCGCGTTGTACTTTGAGAGACTGTATAGTTGGTTGGTTGGTTTGTTGTTTAACGCCGCACTCAGCAATGTTCCAGCTATATGACGGCGGTCTGTAAATAATCGAGTCTGGACCAGACAATCCAGTGATTGATATCATGAGCATCGATCCACGCAATTGGGATCGATGACATGCATCAACCAAGCCAGCGAGCCTGACCACGTGATCCCGTTAGTCGCCTTTTACGACAAGCATAGTCACCTTTTACAGCAAGCATGGGTTGCTGAAGACCTATTCTACCCCGGAATCTTCACGGGTCGAGAGACTGTATACAAAAGGTTGTATAGATATAAACTTGCATGTGCGACTTCAAGGATGACAAATCTTGGTATTACATTATTTTTCTGGTAGTTGATATCGATGGCTTCTCTCTCATGTCATCAGTAATTTAAATGCCTCACAGATAATTCATCTTTTTCTTGACATTCATATTCTTAATTAGCAGCAGGTTATCATATTTAAATACGTTCCACTTGCACGTTCTATTAAATGAAATAGATATATTAAATAGCTGGCACAAAAGGATTTCTGATAAGCATAACCTTAAATAATCTCAGGAGCAAAATAAACTTTACGTCTCAGTTGATTTTGTTTGATTTTCAATGGAAAAATTCTTAAGTTAGCGTATGTATGTATGTATGTATGTGTGTGTGTGTGTGTGTGTGTGTGTGTGTGTGTGTGTGTGTGTGTGTGTGTGTGTGTGTGTGTGTGTGTATGTATGTATTCGTGTACATGTATGTATGTATGTATGTATGTATGTATGTATGTATGTACAGTACTGCCTAGAAGTTCATTCCCCTAACACACGTTGAGAACGCGTGTGACACGCGTGTAACACGGGACCAGATTTCAGTTGAATTTGACAAATGTATCAAATGAATAGTGAGATAAAACAAAACAGTGAGATGTGAATCTTGAGTTAATGAGGAGCCATTGACCTGTGTTCACCAGACAATAAACAGAAGGTCGGACCGTCTTAATTAGTGTTCGGTTGCTGGACTTTAATGGCAAGGCCCATTCCACGAGTGTCCAGTCTAGCCATTGGGTCTAGCCGACAGTAGAACAGTAGTGAATTTAGATGCGAGTTTATTGCTAGGGGAACACCGAGTTGACACTATTGTTGCGGGTTGGTAAATGTTCGCCATTAATGAAGTCATTGTTTGTGGATTGCGGACATATTCGTTTTAAGTTTTGCCAACATGAGTCATTCCAGGTGATTGCAAATATTACGCTTTTCGTACGCCAAATTTATGCTTTAGATAGTACAATTATGATAGAGATGTCACCACTACAACTGTCTTATTTTTTCACGTAGGGATATGCCCCATTTCCCCACTCCTAACTTTCTGTTTGTATTTTGTAAGAATTAATAAGAGAAAGTTTTGTGTGGGATTCTAATATGCATTACTAATTCGAAGAGAAGATTGGTAATGAATATGAACAGCCATGTTGTCTGACTTTGATAGAATTTGAGATCTTCACAATCACCGGTTGTGACCATGTACACAGAATCTCGTTAGGGTTTATGATGTTAACATTTACCCAATGACCATAATGAGTATTGCAAGGGATACCAAAGGTAACAGTTTATTATTAGAGGAAATTGGTTGTGGGTAATCTTTTCACGTTGATGGAAGGAAGCCACTCAACCAGGTGGTGACAATGGTAATGCGCAAGGCTCGGAATCGCGAAAAGATCACTAGAGATAGTGATATATATATGTAGACAATTAAGATTTTGTAATCAGTGTAATCTAGATCTTATTGAAGATGGATATCACTTCCTGTTAATATTCCACACATGTGATAATCTAAGAAGTATATACTTAAAAAGACAGCTTTTTTTTAATCCAAGTATCCACAAATTTGTCACTCTAATATCTTCAGTTAAACTTGATGTTATACGCAATTTGTCAATATATATGTATCATGCGATGTCGGTTACAAATAAGTTTATGTTGTATAAAACCGCTTCCTAAATGCTGTATACTATTGGCCTGTTGCCTAACAGTTTTGTACGAATAAATTATCGATCTATGTAACTGAAAAGGTTAACAAAACCAATAAAGTTAAGACCTCGTCAGCAGGCGGTGAAGATGTCAACGGTTTGGTGTAACACCACGCCCTGCTACACCTGTACCGTGTCTTAAAGTGTGAGCTTACGTCAGTGAACTGCTTTCAATGAGTCGAGGTCTAATTCTGTGGTTCGTTAAGTTTAGATTTGATGATAATGCGTTTGGATGACGTTCAAGTCCCCATGTGTTATTTTGTTGATATGGACAGTCAAAGTTTTCCAGTACAGATACTATGGACCGTCAATGTTTTCTCGTACAGATACTATGGACCGTCAATGTGTTCTTGTACAGATACTATGGACCGTCAATGTGTTCTTGTACAGATACTATGGACAGTCAATGTGTTCTTGTACAGATATTATGGACCGTCAATGTTTTCCAGTACAGATAATATAGACCGTCAATGTTTTCCAGTACAGATACTATGGACGGTCAATGTTTTCTAGTACAGATAATATGGACCGTCAATATTTTCCAGTACAGATAATAAAGACCGTCAATGTTTTTTCAGTACAGATAATATGGACGGTCAATGTGTTCTAGTACAGATAATATGGACCGTCAATGTTTTCCAGTACAGATAGAATAGACCGTCAATGTTTTCTTCGACAGATACTATGAAACGTCAATGTTTTCTTGTACAGATAATATGAACCGTCAATGTTTTCCAGTACAGATAATATAGACCATGAATGTTTTCTTCGACAGATACTATGGAACGTCAATGTGTTCTGTTCTTGTACAGATAGTATGGACTGTCAATGTTTTCTGGTACAGATAATATAGACCGTCAATGTTTTCCAGTACAGATAATACTGACCGTCAATGTGTTCTTGTGCAGATAGTATGGACTGTCACTGTTTTCTTGTACAGAACATATCAAAATACGATTTCAAAAACAGGGCAAGCATGTGTAGCACGCAAGGCACATCGCTGGCCCTGGACTTTCGCGTGACGTGAATGTCTACCACACGTGCGTGGCATCAAGTATGTTACTGATCATGTTCGTTTGTGTATCTACATCTTGCTTTGATTCACCTCAACTTCCAAAAACTCAACTTGAGAAAATCAACTTGAGACGCCAACCTAGAAGGGAACATTGCAAACATGCAAGACAGGTCGCTATCAGTTAAAATAGGGAACAATCGATCGGATCCTATGGCACTGGACAATGGCACGCCACAAGGCAGCATTATAAGCCCAACCCTGTTTAATATCATGATCAATGATCTTTTTGACCATGTCAACTCTCCTACCCAAACTTCTAAATTCGCTGATGACGGAGCAATATGGGTAAAGCACAGAAATATTTCACAAATCAGAAAAAAAACTCCAGTCAGCCCTGGACGGAGTAGATCAATGGTGCAATAAATGGGGATTCACCCTTTCAAGTGAAAAAACTGTTGGAGTTCTATTCAAACGCCGGGGGAAAGATGCTATGATACCCCGTGTCTCCATAAAAGGCAAACCTATCAAATTCGAAAAATCTGCAATATTTCTTGGGGTGATCCTTGATCAACACCTCACTTGGCGCAAGCATATAGAATATGTGGAAAACAGATGTCGAAAAGACCTGAATGTATTACGGGCAATTTCAGGCACATCTTGGGGCACATCGAGAGACACTCAGCTGGACCTCTACAAAGCTCTTATCAGATCAAAAATTAACTATGGTTGTGAGGCTTTTCATTCAGCATCAAATACTGCCTTGAACCGCCTAGACAGAATACAATACAAAGCCCTAATGCTGGCCACAGGCGCAGCAACAGGCACCTCACTTGAAGCACTACAGAACTCCCATTGAAACTAAGAAGAGAGCAGGCAATATTATCGTTCTGGGGACGAACCTCAAACCCTTTGGTTAAAAAGAAATGGCAAGACAAAAACACTCGAGATGAAGCCCTAGCTCGAAAAAATCCCTCACTAAAGCCATCTGGGATATTAGTACGTGAACTCATTCGAAGTCACAATTGCGATGACATTCAGCCTCCGGAAAGTCACTACAAAGGGTTACACCCTCCCTGGACTTTACAAACTCCCAAAGTTGACACTGCTTTAACATCAGAAGTCACTAAAAGAGAAAACCCAACCCTACTACGATCAGTAGCTATCACTAAAATTCAAACTACCTGGGACAGCTGGGCCCATATATACACTGATGGATCCAAGAATCCTATCAACAACAGTGCTGGTTACGGGATCCATATCCACAGCTCCAAACCCCAAGCACATTCAGTTCGCTTGCCTGATGGTCAGTCAGTATTCACGGCTGAATTGGAGGCAATTCATCATGCACTCAAACTCATACCGGAACTCCCGGAAGCAAAGGCAGTCGTCCTATCAGACTCGCTAAGTGCACTTCAGGCCATCAGTGGCAGAAACTCAAACTCAAGGCCAAACACAGTCAACAATATTCTATACGAATATACAAAACTATCGGACCAAGGGCAACAGGTGGAGCTGTGTTGGATCCCCTCTCACATAGATATTCATGGAAATGAAAAAGCAGACTCACTGGCGAAGCTAGCGCTAGACAAAGCAGATATACAGCCTATTCCCTTTAGTAAAATAGAGATAAAAAGCAAAATCAAAGCCTCCATAGCAGAAAGATGGCAAGCCCAATGGGACGCAAGTAAGATCGGCAGATGGCTATACAAAATTCAACCCTAGGTCCAACAAAAGCCAAACTCATACTCAAATGAAAGGAAAATTGAAATTGCTATCTCACGCCTC